TTTTGTGTTGTAAATGATCTCCGAGAGTTTCTTCAACGTGAAGTTTTAAATCAGTCTCACTTCCTCTCAACATCTTCATCCTTTTGTCATGACCAGTGGCTGTAACTGACCTATGAAATCTGGGTGCATATTTCACAGCACTGAGCCACCAGCTAGCTCAGTGTGAATCAGTTCTTGTAGCTGTCTAAAATGATGGAACCAGTCTTCACTGGCAGAAAAGTTTGCTTCTGTCTCTTTGTAATTACAGTTTCCTTTTAACATAGTAACTAACTTTGACATTTTGGCCTGAATGCTAGTCAAACTGATTGAGGTTTTTATTATTATTACAGTTGACACTTGCCCTGTGCAGGTCCACTTACACAGATTTTCTCATTAAATACATCCTACACTACCTTGCCTCCTGTAGTTGGCTGAATCTGCTGATGTGGAACAGAAGATACTGTATCCAAAGTAGAAGACAGTCTTTCTCAACCGAAAGTAGCTTTCTGTTCCAAAAGCAACTCAAACTGAAAGATGTCCACACAACTTTACCTCGTTTTTCCTGCTTCCTGGACTTTCTCCCCATGGTTCCTCCTTCCAGGCAGGTTGAGGTCTCATCCTGTCTTGATTTTGCTGTTGTCATTTTCAAGCTTCCTAACCAATTTCATTTCTAGCATCATCACTTCTTTGCTGCACTTTCACCTTTTTGGCCAATTTCCTCTTTAGGCTGTCCATTTTTGTAAAACATCACACGGGTTCATCACAGGGAGGCAAGCAGGTAACATGAGTACATGCTTTGCTGTCTTGTGACCTGAAGTGCTGGAGAAGCACAGTGATCAGTGACTAAAGGGCTTCGACAGAAAGCTCATGATGCCCATCTGCTGTTTACATAATGACTTGGGGACTGCAGAGCTGGATGAGGAATTTGTACTTCTTGCAGCTCCTCACAGGCAATCCACTGTGGTCAGTGAGAGATGAACCACGCTGTTCAGGGACTGGTGTAATTTAACTACACTGTAGTAAAAAACGTGCAAAGTGAGAACTGCCATACTGGATGATTATCTCTGTGGATACTGAAGTCACAAAGAACGATGGCAGGAGTTGAGTGGAGATGAAGCTTGTGATCCAGCAGCTCAGGTTTTCAAGTAATGAGAAGGAACACCCCAGGGGACTCGCAGGCAACAATCACACACAGAGGTGACAAACTATGTATATCCAGATGGTGTGGGTCTGCAGGAGCTGGAGCTTTTCACAGTCGGGGGTTGCCTGCCCTACCTCCTGGCTCTGAGGAATGAGGCACTAGGGATGAGAGAAACACCAGCTTTTACTTGAGAGGGTTGCAGTGAGACTCCTCAGGGAGAAGTCAGGTCGCTGTTTTAAGGAAAGAAACTCAAAACGCATCTGGAGCAGAGGCTGGGAGAATAGAGGAACCATGTACATGAAGGTCAATGACCGGCTATCAAGTTTTGAGAAGCAGGGACTCGGACGAGTGGGTGTCCGGAGCTCCGCAGGGACTAAAGGAAATGCACACGTGCCACCTGACGTGGTCGATCCGCACGGCTCCTCAAAGGCAGGACAGCGGCTCAGAAGGCACGGTTTCAGTGTTCGCCCTCCTGCTTTGGTGGCTGGTGGAGCGGGCAGAGTGTGATGACCGCAGGCAGCGCTTTTCTTGGTACAGACGCAGCTCTGAGGAGGCGGCAAGGGAAGGAGTCTGTGGTGCGAGGGAGGCGGGAATGCATGCACTAAAGGAAATGCACACGTGCCACCTGACGTGGTCGATCCGCACGGCTCCTCAATGGCAGGACAGCGGCTCAGAAGGCACGGTTTCAGTGTTCGTGTCGCTGTTTTAAGGAAAGAAACTCAAAACGCATCTGGAGCAGAGGCTGGGAGAATAGAGGAACCATGTACATGAAGGTCAATGACCGGCTATCACGTTTTGAGAAGCAGGGACTCGGACGAGTGGGTGTCCGGAGCTCCGCAGGGACTAAAGGAAGCGCACACGTGCCACCTGACGTGGTCGATCCGCACGGCTCCTCAATGGCAGGACAGCGGCTCAGAAGGCACGGTTTCAGTGTTCGCCCTCCTGCTTTGGTGGCTGCAGTCACCTCACACTTCCGTGGGTGGAGCGGGCAGAGTGTGATGACCGCAGGCAGCGGTTTTCTTGGTACAGACGCAGCTCTGAGGAGGCGGCAAGGGAAGGAGTCTGTGGTGCGAGGGAGGCGGGAATGCATGCACGACCTCAGGAGCACCCAAAGGAGTGTGTCTAATGCAGGTGGGATTAGAAGTGAGATGTGGGTTGGCAGTGTTGCTAGGATTAGAGGTGTTTATGATGCACCTGGAATCCACTAAATCTTGAGAAATGGAGAATTTTATATTCTGGAGACTCTAGAACGTAAGAGTTCGTATTCACTCCAAGAATGACAGGGGTTCTGAGACAGGGAGTGACATAACCAAAGTCATGCTTCCACTACGGTCACCTCTTCAGTCTTACAGATGGAGACAAGACTGGCAGCAACGAAAGGTCATTGGATCTCCTCCCTGGTTCATCCTTAGAAGCACTGCCTCGATTTACAGAGGTACACTTATTTAATACTAGCGTCCTGGTACAATAAACACGCAGGGGAGGCAAGGGCCCTGTCCATTTTGTTCACTGCTCACACCATGCATTTCACCCAGTGCCTGGCACATGGCAGACCAGTGACATGTTGAACAAAACAATCAACACACAAATGGATAAAAGAAAGGGACTACGGAAATGTGAGCGAAGTGAAGACCCAGACAAGAGATGTCACAGTGGGGGAGGAAAGAGGGATGATCTGAGTCACTTCAGAGAAACAGAATCCACAGAATTTAACAACTAAGTACGAATGGGGTTGAGAGAAGGGCAAGAGGAAGCAGAGTTGAAGGTCATCTGAACTGTCAAACCAAATGATAACAGGGAACATCTCAAGACTTGGTACCCTCCAGGGTTATGCTAAGTGCTGGGCATAACAGCCTGACTGTATATTACCTCACTCAATTCACAAACTAACCCTCGGAGAAAGGTATAATTCTCACTTTACAAAATCACATTTATAAGTGGTTGGCTCGATACCAGGAAGCGTGTATTCCCTGATAAGCTCACCAGGAAAGAACACCGACTAACATGAGCTCCTTCTTAGGTTTATTATTACCTGTGGCCAAAGTTCGTGAACAATGACTTCTCTTTTAAGGATTCTTTGGGCTACAACTATCATGTCTCTGCTGTGTAGCATGGAACTGCCAGTACTGGATTATCCAACACATTATAACACACAAGTGAAAAGAAAACTCTCATCTTTCTGTTTTCCTGTTTATAGATTATTCAACTAATCTGTATTTTTACTGTTCATTAAATTTGACATGGATTTTCAGGTTCTGAGTGTAACTGTGAAAACAGAATGAATTATCACAGACATTACTGGCTGCCTCCCCCAAGCCCACCCCCTGCTTCTTTCTAGAGGAACTCCCACTGATAGTGCTGTCCACTCTCCACGTGGCCACGTGCTTCAGGGAAGGTGAGCTCCAGTCGCACCCCAAGGAGTGAGTCATAACTGAGCCATGGGAACGCGATTAAATTCTACCAAGGTAAAAAGGAAGCTGAGCGCTGAAGAACTGATGCTTTTGAACTGTGGTGTTGGAAAAGACTCTGAGAGTCCCTTGGACTGCAAGGAGATCCAACCAGTCCATCCTAAAGATCAGTCCTGGGTGTTCACTGGAAGGACTGATGTTGAAGCTGAAACTCCAATCCTTTGACCACCTGATGCAGAGAGCTGACTCATTTGAAAAGACCCTGATGCTGGACCCTGATGCTGGGAAAGACGGAGGGCAGGAGGAGAAGGGGACCATAGAGGATGAGATGGCTGGATGGCATTACCGGCACAATGGATGTGGGTCTGGGTGGACTCTGAGAGTTGGTGATGGACAGGGAGACCTGGCGTGCTGCAGTTCATGGGGTCACAAAGAGTCCGGCACGACTGAGCGACTGAACTGAACCAAAGGTAAACAACTGTGCATAGATGTCCAAGGGGAGAGTAGGAAGACAAAAAGAACCTGGATCCTTGATCAAAGGCCTGGGAAATACAATTTCGCTCTTTTTAAAGATGATTGTGTTACATTTTTTGGTTCTTGCAACTAAAAAGAGCCTGATGAACAGACTAACAAACTGCACACTTGCAAGTGTTTGCTTGGAGGGAGAGGTAGGACTTAGGGAAGTATTAAACATCTCAACATCTTTCCTTCAAACTTGGTAACTTCTTTAAAAAGAATGCATGCAGTATATTAAGACGGCATACAAAATATATCTTCCTTTGGAAGTTTTCCAAAATCCATTGTAATTCACTTAATTTGACATTTTACAAGGTTGTGTCCTAATTTCCCACAGCAAATTCTAAATTTCTTAAATCTAACAAGAATGAAGGCAGGAGAACGGGACAATAGAGGATGTGACAGTGCGGTGGCATGACCAACTCACTGGATATGAGTCTGAGCAAACTCCAGGAGATAGTGAAGAGACAGGAAGCCTGGTGTGTTGCAGTCCAGGGGGTTGCAGAGAGTCAGACACGACTGAGTGACTGCACAGCAAAACAAGAATGACAATTTCTCCATAAATCCATATAAACATTCATATATATGAAAAAGGCATATACCTATACTTCTTACACTTTGGGGTAATACAATGTTAATAAATATGATAACTAGTAAGTATAAAGGTAAAAATCCAGCTTTTACTTGTTTGTTGTTAAAAGAATACAATTAAGAAGCTTCAATTGGAGATATAAGAATATAGTTAATCAAAACTACTATGAAATTCACAAGTCTATAAATTTTCATGTATTTTAGAAAAGTTTAGCAGTAAACACTCTTTGGTCCATGGAACAAGCTATTCACAGTAAAGCGCAAACACTAAGACCAACGCCACGAACGTTTCAGTTTCATGTTTCGCAGAAACCCAGCTGTCCCACGCCACATCCCAGATCCATCTGCTGGCAATCTAGGACAGAAATGTTCAGAAGGCCCACTTTAGATTAAACATGTTAAAAAATAATTCTTTAATCTATACAAGTTTGGTTTTTTCAGAAGTTGCATCACAATCTTAGGAAGTTTTATTTTAAAAGTAATTTGTCCAATTTTCCCTTTGCTGAAAAGACTTCATAGCGATGCGTCCTGGGCCCATCTTCTCTTTACTGGAGAGGGTAAGTTGTCTAACACAGAGAGACTGACCTTAGCAGTGAGTCCTGGGGCAGAACGGGAGGGACTCTGTAACTTGGGTCTAGGAGTTCTGCAGGCAAGACTAACTGTGCTGTCACAGTCCAGAGTAAGGCATTATCCTTCCTACCCGCAGATTTTCAACCAAAAGTTTGTTAGGGTCTCGTCTTGAAATGAAGAAATGGTACTGATCCTATAAGCAGGCTGTTAGAGAAATCCTAACTCCTTTGCTTCATGTACAAAGCCACACAAAATCTGACCTTTCTGTGGTGAGCCTCTCCCATCAGGAGGTTGAGTCTGCTTTTCCACCCTATGAATATGAACTGACCTTGGGATTTGCCCTGAGCAAAATAATGTGACACTGCGCAGCTTCCAAGAGAGGCCTTAGGAAGTCTTCTGCTTTCACCTCTGGAATGCTTCGAGGAGCCCCATGTAAGGACACCATTCCTCCTCTGGAGGACAATATCGTCTGTGCAGGGGAACCAATGGTCACAACTGTGAGCAAGGCTGCATGGGACCTCTGGGCAGCTGCATCACCAGATGGCCGAAAGTGCACAGGTGAGAACAGAAGAAAGTCCACCCAGCCCATCCAGACTGAGCTGACCCACAGGACAATAAGCAAGCACATGACTGGTGTCCTAAGCTGCTCACTTCTGGGATGGGGCTGCCTAAATACACCCATCTCTCTGGTTACCAGCCAAGCCCATGTCTTTGCGCTCCATGTTTTCTCTGCTGGGACTTTCTCCCTGATCTTTAGCACAGCTGGTTCCTTCTTCTTGTTCAGGCATCAGAGGATAACCTCCCCTTCTCCAGATCATCCCAAGGAGCCACCTGTCCACCTGGAAGCTCCCCATTCCCTAAGTGTGCAGGTAGATGTGGTAGAATTCTCTCCTCCTTGCAAGCCTGGCGACTGTCCTGTGGGTGGCAGCCTTCCCTGGGGCCAAGTCCTCCCGCCATGCTCCCACGTGGAGGTACTTACATTGATTGCCTGACCCGTCTTTTGAATAAATAATACTTTTATAATGAACTTATAACGGTGGTACCCAAATTCTTTGACCGATGACAATATGCGGTCTGCTAATTCAAGTGACAAATGAGAAAAGACTTTGTCGTCATATTTGACATCTTGAAGACTTTCCTTTAAAAAAATTAAGAAAGATATTTTAATCTTCAAATTTTAAATAAAAATTGAAGTAGAAAATTAATATTTAATTATTGGCCATAATAATAATTATTACTTACTAATTAATATATGCAGCTTTTGGAAACATACACATCTCTAACCAAATGATATTAAATGGTTGATATGCTTACCAACTTATTTCAATAACAATTTTGAAATAAATTTGATTTGGTTTTACAATTATGTTCAACTGCTCTTCATTAGCAATCCTTAAGCTTAAGTTTCCCTTTACTAGATTACTCTGCCAAACATTTATTAGGGAGAAGCAAGATTTTTTTTTTTTTTTGCCACTCGGCCTGTGGAATCTTAGCTCCCTGATCAGGAACTGAACTCACACCCCCCGCACTGGGAGCAGAGTCTTAACCACTGGACCTCCACGGAAGTCCCTATTCCTGTTTTCTTGTCTCCCTCAGTTAGAGGCCACGTCTTTCTAATCCTGTCCCTGTACTGCTTTTACCTCCAGAAGAGTAATATGGAAGTCAAAGGTTGCTCATCGTGTTTGTCACTAAATTACTAGGTAGCTGGGAGTGGGTAGACAGATGTGGACCATGAAACACTGCATTCTTCTACAGACCACAAGCAGACCTGGACCAGCTGGTGAGCAGGTGGCACCTGCCTTTAATTAACTGACTCAGACTAATGACAAACTTACCAATGTTCTAGGTTCTAATGATAACAAATGGATACCTACCCGCCAATTTTACAGGCAAATAAAACCAAATAAATTACCCATGTTTTGGTTGTGCCTCCCTTCTAGAAGGCTTTTGGATCTGAACTGGGTCTAGGAGCATTTAGTTCCCTCAGGCATTTAGCTCAATTTTTTGTACACTTAGCAACATCCATTCTCTCTTCTGAATCTGCCTAAGAGATCCCAGGCTTTATCTATTAACACATACATGTTCCATGTTAACAATTAATGAATAGTTGCTATAGGAAGATACCTACAAGCTCCAGCTTTCTGTGTCTAGAATGGTGATAATGTTCCCTAAATACAAAGGAAAATCCCCAGCCTCTGAGTGGCCCCAGCCTTCCCCCTACATACCCAATAAGCTGTTCCAAGCCCCTTATGCTCAATGCAGTTCTATAAATGATCACATGTAAGTACACCTTGAAATTCTGCTATACCCAATGAACCTGAACTCAGTCAATGTTGTAGGGCCAAGTGAGAGACACATCAAAATGCTTGCTATTAGGCAAGTGCTATTAGGGTTGTTAATTATTATATTGAGTTGAATTTATTTCCAAGTTATGAGCCATAATATAGTTTCTGAATATTATCTGGTAATTATTACTTCAGTTTAGAAATGTATCTATGTCTATGGTGGTGGAGAGAGGTGGGGGAAATGGGTTTCCTAAATATTCTTCTGTATTAACATATTCATTTAAGAATTAACTCTGATACAATTAACGGGATGTACATCAAGAAAATGGCAACCCACTGCAATATTCTTGCCTGGAGAATCCCAAGGACAGAGGAGCCTGGCAAGCTATCGTCCAGGGGGTCGCAAACAGTTGGACGTAACTAAGCAACTAAGCACACAGCAAAAATTATACAAAAGAAATTAAACATACGCTTTCTTCCCAATAGCCAGCTTACATCAGTTGTTACTGAAGGAATGCATCTTGCAAATTTGAGGTGGGGAAGGTAATATTAAAACAAGGAGTACTCTTAGAGGGGGATTAGGCAGGGTAGAGTCCCACAGAGGGAACCTGGTCGCCAGAAATCTCCTGGGTGCCTGATGCCCAAAAGTGAAAAGGGGATTCAGAAAGGTGGCCCCTTAAAGAAACATTCTATAATTTGAAAGTTTTTAATTTGGCCCTTTATTAGGAAAGATGGTGAAGGGGATTCTTTCCATCTGAACAATGTAGCCTTCAGACACAAACACTAGTATAATTAATATTGGTATTACAGCATTAACTGTAAAATTGAAGAAGCTTTGTTGGACTAGCCTGAAAACATGTGTTTGAGTTTCAAACAACTGTCTTAAATGAACTTCATATTCCAGCTCGTTTAATGAAGAAGAAAATCCACGCATAAGCTGGGGATTGCCTGTTCTTAGGATGTTTAGTGTAGTCATGAATCAGTTTTTCACACATATTCAATATGGGTTTTATTTTTTACTCATTCCTTCAAATATGGGAGAAACATGGAACCTGCAGGATAAGTAATTTATGGATAATTAAGCGTTAAATGAAATACCAAAAAATTCTTTGTGATTTAGTTTTAATTATAGCATCAACATGAAGATTATTCAGTATGACTACAAAGTACTTTCAGAGGTAAATACTACAAAAAAAATCAGGGTAACTATAATGCCATAAATCTTAACACAGTTTATCACATCCCCAAAATTAAGATATTGGTATCATATATACCTATCAACCTACCTTTAGTATCTGCTGGACTTTTGTTTCTACTGAATGAGCCTGGAATTTTTTCAATGGCTCCATTCTATATGAATTAGCAAACTTTAGTTTTGCCAGGGCACTCTTCCATTCTTTACCTAGATCAGCAATTGAGTCATCAAATGGAGGCTCTACATACTGAACATCATGGATTGATTCTCTCAGCCTTTCTCTTAAAATCTGTGCATACTAAAAGGAGAGGAAGAGAGACAGAGAGAGACGACTTTTTAAATTCCATAATGAAATTTCAGTTTTAAGGACCTTGGGGTAGTGGGACAGGGCTGACACAAAGCTTAGAAATCCATTATAACAGACTTCTATGATTATGTGGTTGCTAAATCCTAGAGTCAATCCTGGCTATCAACTTGGACAAGGAGAAAAAAAATATAGGTATCATCTATCTATCTATAAACACAAAAACACAAATTTGAATGCACAGATTTAGAACATCCATGGAAGATGCAGAACTAGAAACAAGATGGCCATTGAGAGGGCAACTGAATGGCTGACAGGTATGTTAGGGAACCTTTCATGTTCCCTACTCTGACACTGGGGCTTCCCTGGTGGCTCAGAGGGTAAAGCATCTGCCTGCAATGTGGGAGACCTGGGGTCAATTTCTGGGTTGGGAAGATGCCCTGGAGAAGGGACTGGCACCCCACTCCAGTACCCTTGCCAGGAAAATCCCATGGATGGAGAAGCCTGGTAGGCTATAGTCCATGGGGTCGCAAAGAGTTGGACACTACTGAGCAACTTCACTTTCACTTTTCACTCTGACATTATGAAAATATTATCCTTTATTGTCTTCTTATAATGTTAATTATTTTATCTTTGATTAAATAATACAATTATTTGTTAACTCATTCATAAGTTTTAATCGAAAAGGTAACAAAAGTTATTCCATGCTTTTGACATTCAACATTTATTTGATAACATTCAACCTGCCTTAAAGAACTATTTATTTAGTGGCTACTATAGTTAAGTATGGGGTTCCCAGGTGGCACTAATGGTAAAGAATCTGCCTGCCAATGCAGGAGATGTAAGAGACATGGGTTTGATCCCTGGGATGGGAAGATCTCCTGGAATGGCTACCAACTCCAATATTCTGGCCTGGGAAATCCCATGGACATAGGGAGCCTGGTGGGCTACAGTCCATGGGGTCACAAAGAGTAGGACATGACTGAGCAATTAACACTTTTACTTGAGTTAAGAATGGGGGCTTCCCAGGTGGCGCTAGTGGTAAAGAACCCGCCTGCAGATCCAGGAAACGTAAGAGACGTGGGTTTGATCCCTGGGTTGGGAAGAGTCAGATACAACTGAAGGGACTTGGCATGCACACACAGTTAAGTACTCTATGCTCTGAAGTTACAGTGGTGAACTTCATTATAATAACCAGGAACTGTTTTACTTGTATTAACTCATAATAAAGAGTCTGAATCCACGGAGTTATCCTTCTAGTGGAAAAAGAAGTGAAATCATTCAGTCGTGCCCAACTCTTTGCAACACCATGGACTGTAGCCTGCCAGGCTCCTCTGTCCTTGAGATTTCCCAGGCAAGAATACTGGAGTGGGTTGCCATTTCCTTCTCCAAAATAGTGGTAATTGCTACACAAATAAAATCACATGACTTGATAGAAACTCACCATGAGGGTCTAATTTTGACTGAATAATTAGAGAAGTCTCTTCTGAAATAAAGTTTGGGCTGATGTCTGAAAGGAATGGGAAATAGGCAGGACAAAGTACTTAATATGTTCTGAGAATAAACATGTGTTTGGCATGTATGAATTATTTAGAGTGGGGAAAATAGTAGTAGAACAAGGTTTAAAAGACATTGTGTAGGACTAAGTAGAACTTGAAAGGGAAGTTGAAACTTATTCCCAGAACAGTGAGGAACCATAGTAGGATTTGAACAGGAAAATGGAACTTATTCCAGGGATGCCTGTTTATTCCAGGAATGCAAGGATGGTTCAGATAACCTCCATGATGTGATAACTCACCTGGAGCCAGACATCCCAGAGTGCAAAACAGGCCTCAGGATGCATGACTGCAAACAAAGCTAGTGGAGGTGACTGAATTCCAGCTGAACTATTTCAAATCCTAAAAGATGATGCTTTTCAAGGGCTGCATTCAATATACCAGCACATTTGGAAAACTCAGCAGTGGCCACAGAACTGGAAAAGGTCAGTTTTCACTGCAATCCCAAAAAAGGCAATGCCAAAGAATGCTCAAACTACTGCACAATTGCACTCATCTCACACACTAGCAAAGTAACACTCAAAATTCTCCAAGTTAGGCTTCGACAGTACGTGAACCAAGAACTTCCAGATGTTCAAGGTGGATTTAGAAAAAGCAGAGGAACCAGAGATCAAATTGCCAACATCCAATGGAGCATAGAAAAAGAGAATTCCAGAAAAACATCTACTTCTGCTTCACTGACTACGCTAAAGCCTTCAAATGTATTAATCACAACAAACTAGAAAATTTTCCAAGAGATGGGAATACTAGACCACCTTACCTGCCTCCTAAGAAATTTGTTCAGTTCAGTTGCTCAGTTGTGTCTGACTCTTTGCGACCCAATGAACTACAGCACGCCAGGCCTACCTGTCCATCACCAACTCCCAGAGTCCACCCAAACCCATGTCTGAGTTGGTGATGCCATCCAACCATCTCATCCTCTGTCATCCCCTTCTCCTCCTGCCCCCAATCCCTCCAATGAGTCAGCTCTTCACATCAGGTGGCCAAAGTATTGGAGTTTCAGCTTCAACATCAGTCCTTCCAAGGAACACCCAGGACTGATCTCCTTTAGGATGGACTGGTTGGATATCCTTGCAGTCCAAGGGACTCTCAAGAGTCTTCTCCAACACCACAGTTCAAAAGCATCAATTTTTCAGCGTGCAGTTCTCTTTATAGCCCAACTCTCACATCCATACATGACCACTGGAAAAACCATAGCCTTGACTAGATGGACCTTTGTTGGCAAAGTAATGTCTCTGCTTTTTTTTTTTTTTCCATGTCCAGTTCTAACTGTCGCTTCCTGACCTTGCAGGCAACAGTTAGAACCAGACACAGAACAACAGACTGGCTCAACTTCCTTAGAAGGGAAGTTAATGACCAACCTAGACAGCATATTAAAGAGCAGAAACATTATTTTGTCAACAAAGGTCCGTCTAGTCAAGGCTATGGTTTTTCCAGTGGTCTTGTATGGGTGTGAGATTTGGACTATAAAGAGAGCTGCACGTCAAAGAATTGATGCTTTTGAACTGTGGCGTTGGGAGAAGACTCTTGAGAGTCCCTTGGACTGCAAGCAGGTCCAACCAGTCCATCCTAAAGGAGATCAGTCCTGGGTAGTCCTTGGAAGGACTGATGTTGAAACTGAAATTGCAATACTTTGGCCACCTGATGCCAAGAGCTGACTCATTGGAAAAGACCCTGATGCTGGGAGGGATTGGGGGCAGGAGGAGAAGGGGATGATAGAGGATGAGATGGCTGGATGGCATCACTGACTCTATGGACATGAGTTTGAGTAAACTCCGGGAGTTTGTGATGGACAGGGAGGCCTGGCGTGCTGTGATTCATGGGGTCACAGAGTCAGACACGACCGAGCGAATGAACTGACTGCCATCTCTAATTCACTAATACTGTTCTACTGAGTCAAATCTGCTGTTGATTCCAGTCAATTTATTTTATATTTTTAACGCTATATTTAGATTTTCAAATGTTTGTAGACATGTGAGACTAATCAAGTTTTCAATTACAGTAATTGAAGGTTTTGGAATCATTGGTTGCAAGCAACAGAAAATGATTCTTGTTAACCACATACATAACTAACTGGAAAGACATAAGGTAGCTCACAGAATGGAAGAGAATGCTAAAGCACCAGGCACTTAAGGCACTTCAGTATGCCACTTCAATTTAAATTAATCTCAGTCATTTTCCTGAATTATTCCAGGGAGAGTTCGTCTAATGAGCCTAGCCTTGGTCTTATCCTCACTATAAAGTTAAAGAGGGTGATTGACAGTCCCACCAAAACTCTATTCAACGGGGATGAGTCCATTCTCCAAAGAAAACTGAGGTGCTACTATGAAAGAAAATAAATGGACACAGGAGAGAGAAAATAAAAAGATATTTATAATGATTAAATTGTGTGTCCTAATTTTTCTTATGCTCAGGATCATGAGAGTCATCAGCTACCTAAAAGTTAGGAATGATAATTAGTAACTCACTGTCTTCAGGCACACTTAATGAGAATTTGTGAAGTCTTTTCTGCCTCTTTCCATTTATCCGTCTTTTCAAATTTCTGACCTGTAAAAGCTCAGACTTTAGAGACAACTATAATTAATCCCATTCATTATCAAATAAGAAAGCACTGCCTTGTCCATGTCCCCTTCTTCCCAGATTCTGGCATGTACACCAAATGTATGTGTCTGTCGTCCCCTCCTTTTGGATTCAAACTTACTTTCCAAGACTTCAGATCTTTAGTAGACAGTAAGTTTATAAAGGGCAGCTCAAAATAGAAATATTTTTCATTACTGTAGGTGACCTATGGTTACTCAGACTTGTATACAGTATGGTTTCTGGGAGCATGAGCTTTAAGTCCAATACGTTAAGCAGTCAGCCTTGCTGTGCTCTTAGTTCTGTCAACGTGCCCTTCTTACTTTTCCTCCTTTTCTCTTTCCTCTGTAAAACGCAGAGAGCAAAGAGCACTCATTAGAACCTGAAATGTTACCAAGACTTTTGGGGGAGGGGTGGGGGTGGGGAGGGAATCAAGATCTTCAAAAATTCTCTCTCCTCCATCCTGTTGATTATGGGTCCCATTAAGTAGGCATGAAAATCGTCACACAAGTGGACCAGAAGCCCCAGCTTTGTTACTACAATTCTGTACCCTTGGACAAATTATTTTCTCTCTTGAAAGTCTCAATAAAATATGGAATACTGATCACTAATGGTTTCCAGATTATGGTCACAAAGAAATCTGGTGCTATACCAACAATAAAACTTAATGACATTATTCATTCATTTCAGATAGTAAGTTAATGGGAAGAATTATTTTCAATTTAACCTTCTCTTTTTTATGTTCTCCAAATACTGAGGCTGCTGCTATTAACAAAAACTCAAAACATTTCATTGTTCTGCTTGGTATATCCAAACATTCTTGTTTTAAGAAAACACGCATACACCGGCTTCTGGTTAGTAAATCTGCCCCTGGTTTCAGTAATGACATTAAACACACTAAAATTACGCATTTCTGGAAAAAGTTCCTCTCGGGAAACCTGGAGCTGAGTAAATTTGAAGAGAAGTGAAGCAGCTGTTTTGGTCTACGCGGTGCTCGAGGGTCTACACCACAAAGGCGGGAGAGTTCTGCAGCCCAAGGAAGGCCCCTGCCCCGTCTTCGCACTCACTGCCTCCTTCTCGAACATGCTAGGCCTCCTCTCTTTGCGAGGCGTCACTGGCGGCTGCTGAGGCGCCGACACCGAGGGCGCCTTCGCGCCCCGACCCCTCTTCTCCATCCCGCCGGCGTTCCGGACCGCCTTCGCGGTCGCACAAACGCCTCCACCGCTTTCTGCTCGAGTTCCAGTCTCGCGCGTGCGTCGCGCCAGCCGGAAATGCGCCTCAGGGAGGGGCGTGGCGTGAGTGCGTCATCCCTCGGCGCCGCGGCCGGGAGCCGGAAGTCATGGAGGTAGAGTCCAGGTAGCGGCAGTTCCAGAGAGTCCCTGAGTTCGTCCATCAGGCTGTGACGCGGGGAGCATCGTCTTGACTGCAGCCGGTGCCGCGGCTGAGGAGGGCGGGCCGTGTCCGTCCAAGTGGACGCCTGCTGGACTCCCGCCCTCGTGCTCCCTGGTGTCGCCGACCCTGCGTTCGGGGGCGCAAGTCTGCGAGGACGTGGCGTGGGGACCGAGCCTGCGCCCTGTGCGCGGCGGGGGAGCTGTGTCGCCGCGACCGCCAAGTCCAGGAGCTGTTCCCGGGACCGCGGACGGGCACGCGCAGCGCGCCGTGGCTTTTAGCCTTTGTTCTGACTGTCCTTCGTCCTTAAAGGAAGTGTCCTCTCGGTGGTCCCTTAGCGATGTCTGAAGTATGTGTGGTGATCTCGCCTCTGGTTCACACTTGCAAATGAGAATTGTAGTTGACGTCTTTAGGTCACTTTGATAACGTAAAACTAAATCAAAGGGTGTCATAACTGGCTGCCTCAGTGGGGTTGCCTCACAATAAAGATTTTACTTTCCTCTCGGAGGGATTTCAGTGTCAATCGATTATCTGTGAGCAGTTTTTAGCACTAGCTACTACTTGCTGAGTACTGTGTGCTAGGTGCTTCTCAAGTATTATCTCTGATTACTGCAACCATAGGAGGTGGTCATGTTTTGCCCCGCTTTACACTTAAAAATCTCAGGTATGTTAGCGGTTCCAAGGCAAGAGGTGGAAAAGAGTCTGAGGAAGAATTCAAATTCAGATCATTCTAGCTCTCAAGCACAGATCGTTTGCACTATCCCATGCTGCTCTGGGCAAGACACTGAAGTACCAAAGATGACACGGAGGGGTACACACACACACACAAAATTCAGGCTTTGGGGCTTCTAGTGGGAGGACAGACATGTCCCTGGGTGTAACACACAGAAGAGAGATTTATTGTCTTGAGTGGGAGTTAAAGCGTTGCAGCATGTATTATTTGTTGATTTGAGGTTGAATTTTATTTCTCGATTAACAGCAGACTCTCTTCTTGTCTAAGAGAATATGAGCTTAAAAAGTTAACCTAGAAGCCAGCTTCTAGAATTGCATGTCTATTTGTAGGAGTAGAATGTACCCATTCTCCAAATCTGAAGGTCTTGGAGCCTTAGAGAGGTCCATTTCAACTCAGGGTGAAAGTGTTAACTGCCCAGTTGCATAGGACTCTGCAACCCCATGGACTGTAGCCCACCAGCCTCTTCTGTCCATGGGATTCTCCAGGCAAGAGTACTGGAGTGGGTTGCCATTCCCTTCTCCAGGGGATCTTCCCAACCCAGTGATTGAACCCCAGTCTCCTGCATTGCAGGCAGATTCTGTACCCTCTGAGCCACCGACTGGGGATAGGAGGAGCCAATAATTCATTTAACTCTTGTTTTTCATTTATCATGTTCCAGCATCTGCTGTGTCCTGGGCATACAACGTTGTGTAAGACCTGGTCTCTCTGCTCCAGGATCTTACTGTTTGGTTGAGTCTGAGGGATGATTGTGTTGGTCCAGTGTCTACAACCAAAAGAGACTTTACTTACAACCTCAGTTGTGAGATTCAGGGCCCACTTAACTAGTGGAGTAGATGAGTTTTTGTGCAGAAATATAATTTCTTCCTGTCTCCTGTCACTCTGGAACTTCAGCTTATTCCTTTAGAGTTGAAATGCTTTTAAAAAATGCAAGGAGTCCCTTTTGATGTGAATGTAACCTTTTGGAGTTATGTTTGTGTATTTGTCCAGAGACAGACCACAGGAGTTTTCACACTATGATCATTTGATATAAAGCGTTAACTAGGAATAAAATGGTTAGCTAGTTATATGAAAGGATAAAGTGAGATCTCTGCAAGTGTGGTTGAGACGGCAGCTGCAGGAAGCAGTCCCTCCAGAGGACTGAGGGAGCTGAGGGAAGTGGCTGGCATTTTAAAGCTTAGACACTTAGAGGAGGGTCCCTGCACGGTTGAAACTCAGGTCTCTGCGGAGGAAATTGTGCTACAGAGCTGCATAAACGAGCCTGGGTAGTAGGATGCAGAGTTCTGAAGAGAAGTCACCGGATCCATGGTGCGTGTTTCTGGTGGCTGTTCTCGGGTGAAGCTGGTCCTGCAAGCGTTGGAACGACTGCAGACTGGATTCAGCTGCTGCAGCAGGAGGCACTGCAACTGCAGGGCAGTGCTCAAAGGAGTGGAGATTCTGTGCCCAGAAAGGCACAGGAAGTTGCCAGGCTGCAGGCAGGAGAGGCCAGTGCCTACTCCCATGCTGTCTTGCAGTGCTCCAAGGAGAGTGTGCTGACTGGCTGAGCGGGTGTCACACAGGATTGCTGAATATTCCACACAAATCTCTCAGGGAGTACCTCAGTTGCTGGGGCCTGAAAGCATTGGTTGACTTCAAGGCTGAGAGTGGGAATGAAGCTTTTGGGGACAAGAAGAGTGGACAGGATAATGGGTGATACGGATGGGGATGGAGGAACTGAAGCCAACTGGCTTCCAAATTAGGGAACTGCCAAGACTTACTAATGTTGGAAAATGCACACCCCTTAACACATCACATAAAGACACCAGGTCCTTTTCAGACCTGGAATATGATCTCTCTGTAGATTTATTGGGCGATCTTAGTGTAATGTTAGGAGAATTATGAAAAATTGGTTTTATTTAATTTTTTATGAAAAAGCAGCGTGGTTTGCTGCTTTTTACACTATGTAGGGAGTCAGGATTATGCATTTTGCTCTGTTTTAACATTATGTAATGTTTAATTCATTTAGTAGTTTGATTTTCTATTTTTCTCAGCCCTCATTTAAAAATGCTTATTCTGATAACTTTGGGATAATTTGTGAATCCTGAAAGGAATAATGCACTATCCATAAAGTATTTTGAGCTTCTGTAAATTCTTATGTTAAAAATATTATGTTTAATAAACTTAACTTAAAATCTTTAAACATTTACTTGAAAATATCTGCATAAGTAATCTTTAGTTGATATTTAATCGCAATGTTTTAATCATATAGTGCTTCTGACATCCAGAAAGTGTGTTAACACAGTAACTATTCCTGAGTATATTCTATACTTAAGACATGATAGAGTTTTCCTATGACTTAAATATATTATAAAATTAATATTTTCTGTTAAAGAGTGTGTTTTATGTTTTATATTTCAGATATTAATTGGGGAGCCAATTGCCACCTGTCTTTCTCCTTCAGTGTATGACATGATCTGTAAACTTGGGTTTGAAGTCAGAGAAAATTGTGACATCAGTAGTATTGTAACTCAAAATGGTGATGTATGCTGGAAGAAAATTACAGATTGCATGGTTTATACAGAATCAGGTTTGTACTTTGCCTGCAGCCCAAATGCCCGTCAATACTGTTCTCTGTAAAATGTCTTAACCTATGAACTTTCCCTTTCTGACTACCGCTTTTTGGGTTAGGAGATGTTATATTAATAGTACAGGCTTAACTCAAAGAGAAAAAGAATCGGTGTGGAAAGAGAAGGAGTGAGACCAGAGAAGCGCAAGGGAGTGAAGGAAGCCGAGGGTGAGGAGGAGGGGTCAGAGGCTGTGCGGGCCGAGGGCTCTCGGCCTGCAGTCCAGGTGGAAAAGGGAAGCAGACAGAAGTCATGACTTAAGGGTGTGGGATGACCAGTGGTACATACAGTTATTTTACAGGTCTTCTAGGCATTGTTGTACCTTTTTTAAGTAGGGATGTGGATTGGAATGTTTTTAAATAGTTGTAAAAATTATAAGCAAACATGCTCTGGCCCAGCAGTTCCATCCAGGAACATACAAGACAGGTCCAATCACAGGTGTGAAGGTGTGCCTTTGCCAGGTTACTCCTTGCAGCAATTTGTAATAGAGAAAGAAAGAAGGAAAGAAAACTGGAAATAGCCAGATGTTAAGCACTACAGGATTGGTCGGTCAAATGATGAAAAATGTGTGCAAGGGAACATTATGTAATCGTGAAAGAGAGTCAGGAGGCCCATCCTTCTGGCCCAGAAATCTCTCTGAGCTATATGGTTGAGTGAAACAATAGTGGGAACGTGTAATATTTGCTTGTGTATGTATGAATATTTCTAAATGCACTCAAGAAATGTATAACATTTCTTGAAATGTGAAAGCTGCCATAAGAAGGAGAACTGGTGGCAGGAGAGAGACTTCCACCCTTTTATATTTTTGGGTTGTGAGCCATGTAAATGTTCAGCCAGAACTTACGGAAAAAAACCCTCAAAGCAAAAATTCATATTATAAATACGTCCCAGAATAATAATAATAATTATTATAAATTAATGTCATTGGAAATCTCCTAGTCTAATAATGTTACATTAAAAAGTCAGGTTAAAGTATTATATATACAAGTTTACATACAGGCAAAGAAATTTAAAAAATATTTTTTGTCTTATTTGAACCTTTCTGTATTTTTCAAACTCTCTGACAGTTTTTCTTTTATAATCAGGTAAACACATGTGTAACTTATTTTCCACAATATGAGTATCTTTGTTTTAAGTTCAGTTTAAACTGGCTCTCAATTTTGTGGAAATTTCGTCATTGAAGCACTTTGGCAATGTAGGCGTTGTCATCACACGATGCGGAGCTCACTTGCTTTCTCACCCTTGCAGCCCAGGATCTGGACCACCGGGAAAGCGTGCGGCTGCTGGGCCCTGTGTGCCAGGCTGTCCATCTGCATCTGTTGTCTCTGCTCGAGGGGCAGTTTGAAATGCGATACACCCCGGCGCTCCAGTGGACAGGTGTTCCAGAGGTTTGACTTTTGAACAACAACAAAGTCTTAGAAATGAAGGACTGCAGATTCCACTTAGAGGCCTTTGCTCCTTGCTGATTTTAAATGGGTCTCCTGTCCTCCGGGCCCTGGGTTGTGAGAAGGCTTGAGTGTTGCAAGGGAAAGTTGGAGCTGTTTGCAAAGCCTGAGCTGAGAGACATCCTTTGCCCAAAGGAAGTTTCTGGATGCGGTGTCAGGATCGGGGTTCGGGGAGGTGCTTTGGTGCATGGCTGCTGCTGGTCCCGGGACAAAAGAACTGGACAGCTCCAAAAAAAGAAAAAGACCTTCCAGACTGATCATAAGATGCTCTTACAATTGGGGCCAGGGGACTCGAGGCAGGGATGCTTGGCTTGTTGACAGCAGCAGAAGGGAGGTGGGGTAGTTCAAGGTTCAAACCAACCGTTTCCCTTGGCACATGAAGTGATTACAGTACAGAAGTAACTATAAAAATCTAACTCTAAAGTACTTTGACTTTCCTCATACAGAGTGGCAGGGCCTTCCCTTCTCCCTGTGTAGTAGCTTCCTTAAATGGCAGGGTGAGCTGCCTTATTTATCTTTTTAAGAAGTAATCAAAATGAGATAAAATATTTAGGTCAAAGTATTTGACTTTCCAGTTTACAATTATGCCAGATTTATTGCTTTTAATAAACATTTAAAGAACTTCCCAAAACCTCCTTAGGTATTCAAACGTTTTTCTTGATTCTTTGTATCTTGTTATATTTATATAAAAAAATGTTTACCTACACCAAAACAGTCATTAAAATATGCTAATTGAAATCTTTAGAGGTTTGAATTTCATTAATAGAATTGTGACTTTGAGAAATAATGCTTATTGAACACGAATTCTAACATGTGTCTTATTCTAAACAGTTATTTCCTGAAATACTTGATGCCTTGAGAAGTCTTGAATCTCCCAGTATTTCTCTCAGCCTCATGAAGCTCACGTCGTGTCTGGAGCGAGCCCTGGGTGATGTAAGCATGAGGACTCTTTCACTGTTGGCTGTGTAAAGTGTCTGAATGAACAGGAAATGGTTTTCCAGTTTCACTGACATTTCTAGATTTTAATTATTGTTTTCCTGTATAATCACTTGGCACAGATTTTTGAAATATTTTTCTTTTTGAATGATTGTGAGATCAGAAACATCAGTGTCTCCAGTTCTTTCCTCCCTTCATCTGTATAGACATTTGCTTTGTGGGTGATATTCTGGTTAATGTGATTTGGCTCATTGTAATACAGTTGTTACACAAGTTTGTTTGAATTTCAGGTATATTTACTGATTGGGAAGGACTGCCCCTTTCTTTTAAGAGATCTGCTCGCATCTGAGGAACTTGCTCAAGTCTTTGGGCAGCCTGTGGTGAGCTTGTCCCGTTAAAACTGATGGAGGAAAAAGGGCCCAAAACAATCAATGATAGCTCTATTTTTATTTCTCAAAAATTGATGCTATGTTAGGGAAAAATTAATTATTTCAGGGATGCAAGCTTACTTTCCTTTCCCACAGACCCTTTCTGCCAAAATTGCCATGCTTCCAGCCCAAAGACACACCTCTCTCTTGTCCTGGTCAATGTGCTTTGATGATAGCCTCTGATGTGATGACCTCAGGTGTAGGAGTCTCTGATGTAAGAGTTTCTGGTGTGATGAGCAGGTGTGATGACCTCAGGTGTGGAGCTTCTGCTGTGATGAGCAGATGTGGAGCCTCTGGTGTGATAACCCATTTGATGACCTCATGTGTAGAGCCTCTGGCGTGATGAGCAGGTGTGATGTCCTCAGGTGTGGAGCCTGTGGTGTGATGAGCAGTTGCGATGACCTCAGGTGCAAGAACCTCTGGTGTGATGAACGCATTTGAGGACCTCATGTGTGGAGCCTCTGGTGTAATGACGCTGGAGGAATAGCCTCTGATATAGTAACCTCTGGGGGCCAGGCAAATGAGCAGTTTGAAGTCTGTTGATCTCATCGATTGTGTATTATAATGGTAATTCTAGAAGATATAATACTAACTTATTCAGGAGTAAAGTTTTAACCCTTTAAAGAGTGATATTACAATTTTATTATTAAAAAAATCAATATTTTTAATATGTGAGAAAGTATACCTTTTGCAGCTTCTGAAACTTAAGTTGAAAAAAAATTTAGATGCCAGTTTAAAAATGGGTACTTCTTCTGAATCTTCTCGGGGCCACGTGATCATGATTTTTTAAGACCAGTGAGTAACCTTCCGGCAACTGAATAAGTCAGGTCAAGGTGAAGAAGCAAGCCAGGGTGGTGCCCACCGGGACGTTCACAGACCGGGCTCACTGAGAAACGGTTGTCAGTGGAGCTTTCCCACGCTTCCTGGTGGTTCCTTACGCCTTGTCAGCTTCAGGTCGTTTGGTTTGGTGGAGCGTGTGGAGTGAAGTACAGGATGCTTACAGTCTCACTGAACTCTTAAATCCCTTGTTTTGCTCTGTCCTCTGTTTTCTGCCTGTGTTGTGCAGTGAGCTTTCTGTCCACCCGCAGCCCTTTCGGCTCCCAGGTAATTTTCCTAGTTCCTTGGCTTATATACTTGTAATTTCCCAGATGGTATGAACAATTAATTTAAAATAATAGTAAATTTAAGGCAAGTAATATTTAATTATTAGTGTTGTTACGTTAAAGTTCATGTTAAAAGTATTTTAAGTTAGTGTGAGAGCCAGGACTTCCCGGAGTAGGACGGAAGGACTGGCTATCAGACATTCTGGTGCTGAGTCGAAACCCCTGTGTGAGTTCCTGCTCGTGACAGCGTGCAGAGTACCGTCCCCGCTTCCCTCCGAGTCTGCAGATGAATGGAGCAGCTTCAGTCCTTTCCCGAGTCTCTGGGAGGCTCATCTCCTCTTTCCTACGACATGGGTGTGAGTCCTCTTAGTCTCTGAGCAGCTTCCCGTGTGTTGTGAATCTCCTGTGAGGCGTGATGCTCCACACCCGGGGGATGCCAGGGAAGCTGTAAGTGTTGCTGTTGGACAAGTGGGATCCTTGATTCGGGAGGGTCTTCACTTTGCGTTGACAGGTAGGAGGATGGAGCTGGTGAACCGAGAGCTTCAAGTCAGACAGGAGGCCGCGCCTCGGCGCTCAGCTGCCTGCTGCGGAGCCTAGTCTGTCCTTTGCTGTGGAGGTGTTTCATCCACAGACCAGGCCTCTCCACGCGCGGCGTGGAAGCAGTGTCCTGGGGGGCTCCCGCCCCCTGTGGCTCTGGGGCCCCACACGCGTGGTCCCGCCCCCCCTCGCTTGTATGCGTCTCGCGGGTGTAGTGTGAGTGCAGCGTCTCCTCAGAGGTCGCCCGGGGAGCGAGAGGAGCGCGTGCGGAAAGCGCTCCCTCCGCGCTCGCGCTCGTGGTCCCCTGGGCCCCGGGGGAGGCTCCCGCGGCGCAGCTGGGCCGGCTGCTCAGCGCCCCGCGGCCTGCCCCTCTCCCAGATGGACGTGCTGCAGGTCTTCGTGGGCTCCCCGCGTGGACTCAACCTCCGCAACGTCCTGTGGCACGGCTTCGCGGCCCCTCCGGAGGTTCCGCCCGAGTGAGTGCCGCGCGCGCGCTTCCGTCACGTGCTGAGAAGTTTGCTTTATTTGAGTTTCACATCAAGAAGACATGTATTTTGAGATCAATGAGACAGTTTGGGTTCAGGGTGTTGAAGACACAACCGGACATCAGTGGCCGAATGGCCGCAGTGGTGACTGGGTTACATCTCACTGACTTTGCTCAGAGGCCCAAGTGGTGGCGTGCCCAGCCCCGGCGGGCGGGGTACTAGGTTTCGGCTCACCGGTTCCTGAGCGGTGGCCGGTCCTGTGGACCCCTGCAGTTTCATCCCCACAGCTAGTGGGATTTTCTGCAGTTTGATACTGTTTTGCTTTCTTAATTTTAAACTTTTTTTTTTTAAGTAGAGCTTTTTATATATGTGCTGGGTTTGTGTTTCTAACAGATTGCTGTGGTATTTCCCACTAGATACTGCTCAATGTTGGTGTTGTTGACAGTAGGATTGGGTCAACTACTGAAGGGTTACCTTCAACAGACTAACTTCACGTTGGCACATCGACCTTTTGTAACTCTTACGAGCGTGGAGGATTTGATCATTTTTCCTGGCAAGTACCACACTTCACGTTTTTCTTTGACTCTATCTTTGTAAAGATATTTATAATGTTACTAAGCAGCACTGACACTCAAGCTCTATGGGAGGAATAGTTACTCTCCAGGGGCAACGTGCCTTTGAAAGTTTCATGAGGAACCTGTTAAACTTTGCCACATAAACCCTCACCCCTTCCCATGGTGCCCCCAGGGTTGGCGCTGGGAGTCAGAGCCACAGCTACGTGAATCAGTGTTAATATTATTGGTCAACAATGTTAATAATGTTGATCAATATTAATAATACCAGTCGACATGAATCAGTATTAATGATAAAATTAGTTTATCGTGCAGATGTGTGGCTTGGGCCAGTCTGTGACACACATTCCCTTCTCCTCTCTGCTGTCTTGCTCTGTTCTCTTAATGGTGATGCCAGAAGCGCTAGTAGTATAAGTGTTTTCCTGTGTCATCTTTGGACTTCCCCGATGACTAGCAGAAAAGAATCCATCTGCCAACCCAGGAGACGAGGGTTCAATCCCTGGGTTGGGAAGATCCCCCAGAAAAGGAAATGGCAACCCACTCCAGTATTCTTGCCTGGGAAATCCCATGGTCAGAGGAGCCTGGGGCTACAGTCCATGGGGTCACAAAGAGCTGGGCACGATTTAGCAACTAAACAACAACAAATATCATCTTTTGGTTTTTTTTTTTTTCATGTCGAAGTCTTACCAGATTGATGAGGTTGAGGACACAGGACTTCGAGAAAACAGATAAACCCTGTGTTTGCTCCAGGCCCACCCCTTTTCCTGTTTGGTAGTAGACAGGCCGTGTCTGCTTTTGCCAATGAAAACCCTGGAGGGGAGAGTACAGAGCATCTTGGCCCCAGCGGTCTTAGCCTTTTGGGATCATGGAATCTTTTGCTCGTCTGGTGACTGCCAATAGCATATATCTTTTAAGACTTTACTTTTGTAGAGCAGTTTTAAGTTTACAACAGAATCAGGAAGGAGGTGCAGAGGTTCCCAGCCACCCGTCTCCCTTGTCAGCATCTCTCACCAGGTGGGACATCGGTTGCCACAGATGGATGAGCCTACGTGGACACAGCATGGTCACCTGAAGTCCAGAGTTTACCTTTGGATTCACTCTTGCTTCCCGTATCTTTGGAAGATGTATTTTCTTGGTCAGTGTGGCCAGCCAGTTGCCCCTGAACTCCTCTGCTCACATAGTTGCAGCCTCTGTCACTGATGCAGTCGCCCTGGGCCCCCACGGGTTGCCTGTGGTCACCTACAGCCTGGCCTCATTCAGGTGGCCTTACTCTTAGACGGCATGCGTTGCCCACGGTCCATCTTCTTAAAGAGGTTGGCCCAGTGGCATCACTCCCTAAGTGTGTTCACACCTTTTTTCAGTTCATCAGTGTGATTGTGCTTAAAAATATTTGCTATTTTACAGATGTTACGACTGAGGTGCTTTCAGTATTAGAAGAAGTGATGAAGAAGTCCACTTTTATACTGAAAATCATGTTGCCGTATTGGGAAGTTGCATTAACCAAGTTAAAGTCTCACAGGTACCTGCAGTGTGGCTTTACAGATTGGGCACTGGTGGTCTGCAGGCCCAGGCCTTCCTAGAAGCCTCCGCTTCCCGTGCTGTGTTGCTGTAAAAGCAAACAGGAGTCGACCCGAGCATAAATTATCTTCCTGTAATTAATTAAAAGGCATCTTGTAATTGTGTTTTAAACATTTTTTTGTTTTTTGGTACAGTTTTATATAGTTAATAATGATAATTATTTTAATTTTTATTTTAGAAATTAAGAAATCATTTTGGCTGCACTGCACACCTTGCAGGACCCCAGTTCCCTGATCAGGGATTGAGCTCGGGCCACGGCTGTGGAAACCCAGGGTCCTAACCACTCGGCCACCAGGGAGTGCCGCAATAATTACTTTTTTGAAGCAACTTATTAATATTTTTCAAGCTCTTACTGTGACTGAAACACGGTGTGTAGTGTTAGAGAGTCAGGAGGGACAGAGGCTGTCAGTTGCCTCTGTTCCCCAGGGAGCAGGCCCCGGGTATTGCCCTGGGGGGTCAGTGGGCTCCACTTCCCTCCCCATTACTCTGTCCTGATGCAGACACTTGACTGGAAACCGTGAGAGCCCACCGACACCCTGGCGTCTGAGTACTTTTTAGATGAAACAAGTTTGGCAGGTATTTGGTGACATTTTAATCTGCAGCTACTAAAACTGTCTCATCATACATTAAAACACCAGAAAACAGTTTTATTGTCACTCATCTCGTGAGACCTTGATTCTGTTTTTGTTTCTCATGTTAGTGAGTAATATCAGCCCTCACTGCTTTGGACACACGTTGGTAACCTCTGGAAAACAGCACGCTTATTATGGTGTTGGTACCAGAGTTTACCTTTAGAACATGAAGTTTTACTGATTTCATTCAATTTCACAGGTTTGCTGACTGTGCCATATTGCTGTTGGTGCAGCTAGAGACTGGACTTAGGAAGGTTTTTGCTGAAGTTAACGAATGTCCAAAGAGACTTCTAACTGCTGAGGTACACATGCTCTAGTGGTTGGTGGTGGTTGCTGCTGTATCGACAGTTTTCTGTCCGTAATTAAAGCTTTTACTATCTTGTTTTTGTTTATTGTTAAATGAATTTTCTTGTAAGAACTTTCTTTGGAAGGCTTGACTATCATTTTTTGTGGTTTCCTATTTTGATTTTGTAAGACTTCTGTTTATCTGTGATTCTTCCCTCGTGGCTCAGCTCGTAAAGAATCTGACTGCAGTGTGGGAGGCCTGGGTTGGGAAGATCCCCTGGAAAATGGCAAAGCTACCTACTCCAGTATTCTGGCTTGGAGAATTGCATGGACTGTATAGTCCATGAGGTTGCAAAGAGTCAGACACGACTGGGCGGGATAAAAATGGGAAAAAATTCTAAGTCTTTTTTTATGTCATCAACGATGTCATGAAAGCGGCTGATGCTCATGCTCTCTCTGAAGCCACAGTTACTGCTGTGCTGTTGTAACCCCACGAGGTGGGCATGGCTGGTCTGCAGCTTGCCTTCTCGGAAGAGACTGCTGCCTTTTGGCAGAGCTGCCGGTGGGGCTTAGAGATGCCTTTGAGTGGCCATGTCCCAGTGGGCTATGGGAGAGTCCACTAGGCAGGGGAAGGGGGAGCACACATCCTGGGCGAGCACAGGCGTCTGCCGTACCTGGTGCTCTTGTTTCTTCCTAGCTCATCGTCCTCTTTTTGCCCCTTAAATCAGTTCAGTTCAGTTCAGCCGCTCAGTCGTGTCCGACTCTCTGCGACCCCATGAATTGCAGCANGAAACAGAAAACTGAGCTTTCCAAACATCTATTTCTTTTCTGGTGGCTGCAACCACATGTTATTTCAAAGTGAAAATAATAGCTAAACATTTATTTAGCATTTATTATGTACTTTATGAACTTCACACAATTTAAAAAATCACTGTGGTATTCATTCAAAGCATGACGGACATTACTCTTCCATGCCTTGGACAATTTGTCTGAAACTATCAAGTTACTGGTAAACACTCATTTGTCAAGACTCACCCCAGTTGCCATCTCCTGTATGAAAATGTTTTGAATGCCTCCATGAAAACTCTCTGAGATCCCTCTGTGACATCATCTACATCATACTTTAGATCAAGAGGGTAGTAGTTCTGTATGCCTTGTCCTACTCTTCCATGACGAATAGTATTCTCAACATACAGAACCATAGATATCACTATGAACTAAATGTCACAAAACTAAGTGTCACTCAGTGCAACCAAGTTGCACTATAATTAGAAGGTTTGAAGCCTGGCTCCATCAGTTAGTAGCTATATAACTTTAGGCAAATTATCTACCAGTCGGAGTTTTCTTGATCTCATCTTCTAAATGAGAATAATGTCTAGCACAAATTATACTGTGAGGATTAAATAAGGAAAAAATAAATAATAGTAGAAATGGTAGTAATATCAAGAACATAGAAAATGTAGAAGAAAGTGAAATTTAGGTGTACAAGATTAAACTAATGAGCTCTGAGAATTTTTCAGAATGTGTATATTTGTATGACTTGGTATATTTCACTAGACCATGGAAAGATTCTTAAATGAGAGTCAAAAATGTCAGTTTAAAGTCCTACTGAAAGCAGATAGTGAAAAAGTACAGATCTTTTACTTTATAAAATATGTTAATCGGAGTAATTCACAAGGCAATTCAAGTTTCTTTAAAAAATTTAGCTCCAAAAGAATTTTATATGTTTCTTTCTTTGTTCTTTTGCATTTCGTGGAATTGTGTAATCTTCAGACCCTCCTACCCAGATATTATTAACATTTTTTCCAAAGGAAAAAACCATCAAAATATGATAGTTATTTTTATGAAAATATGACTTAATCAGTGAGAACTTTTTATCTTAATGATTATATAAAAAACACAAGGAATAATGCAGGAGAAATTAAGAGACATTGTGATAACCAGCTGGTTACCTACACACATCTTAGTGTTCACACTGAAAGAAATATAGCACTTTGATTCAGAAAACCTACTCTGTTAATTTTCTTCCAAACCATCAGCCTTCTCATTTTAAAGGAAGAATTAACAAAAAGTTAATTCTGTTTTAAAGACAGACAAAATGGGAGTCAGAAATATGACAATAAATCACTTGAATTCTTCATCAAGGTTTGTCCACAACCTGGTAGAACAGTCACTGTCAAAAAAAGAGAAAAAAGTAATATCAACATATTCTCAAAGGAGGTGTACCGCTTCCCCACAACAGTTTAATTCCAGAAAAGTTTTCTTCTAAGTTGGAGTTTTGTAAATTGAGTGATATGTTAAAATTGTGGGAAGGACTAATGATTCAAAGGAATCCTTAGTTCAACCTGTCTTCATAATGCCAAAATTCAGTGGTTTTTCCCTTTTACCTATTTTATGAACTTGTATCTCCTCAGAACAGAATCAGGAGTTAGCTAATTAGGATTTTTGTTCTGAATATTCAGAAAACTAAGATCATGACATCCAGGCCCATCACATCATGGCAAATAGATGGGGAAACATTGGAAAGAGTGACGGACTTCATTTTCTTGGGCTCCAAAATCACTGCAGATGGTGACTGCAGCCCTGAAATTAAAAGACACTTGCTCCTTGGAACAAAAGCTATGACCAACATTGACAGCCTATTAAAAAGCAGAGACATTACTTAGCTGACAAAGGTCTGTCTAGTCAGAGTTATGATTTTTTCAGTAGTCATGTATGGATGTGAGAGTTGGACCATAAAGAAGGCTGAGCCACGAAGAATTGATGCTTTTGAACTGTGGTATTGGAGAAGACTCTTGAGAGTTCCTTGGACTGCAAGAAGATCCAGCCAGTCCATCCTAAAGGAAATCAGTCCTGAATATTCATTGGAAGGACTGATGCTGAGCTGAAACTCCAATACTTTGGCCATCTGATGTGAAGAACTGACTGATTGGAAAAGGCCTTGATGCTGGGAAAGATTGAAGGTGGGAGGAGAAGGGGACGGCAGAGGATGAGACGGTTGGATGGCATCACATACTCGATGGACATGAGTTTGAGAAAGCTCCGGGAGTTGATGATGGACAGGGAGGCTTGGTGTGCTGCAGTCCGCGGGTCATGAGAGAGTCAGACCGGGCTCCGTCCTCTCCGTGGCTCCGCGCTCAGCTTCAGTGCCGCCTGCGCTCCGCCTGCCCCCCACCCTCCCGCGCATCGCCCTGCTGGTGGCCCCGCCCCTGGCTGGCCCCGCGGTCCGTCAGTGCTTGGCTTCACTGGCTCGCACCTCGCTCACCTGAACTTGTCTCTCACAAGTCTTCGTGCTTCTCCTCCTCCTCTCATCCATTCTCACGCTGCCACTGATTATTTGCTAAGTTTATGAGTATTCCTGTGTCTTCTATGAACCTGTCTGCTTAAAAGCCTTTTATGACTTCCAGTGCCTGATTGCACTGCTCACGTTTCTGATTTAAAGGATCTCAGAGTCTGGCCCCAGCCTTTCTCCACTTTAGTCTCCACCTGATTTCACCAGCATCATTTAGACTCCTTGCCAGTTCCTGGACATGCATACCTTTCTTCTTCCTTGCCCGCTGTTCCCTGCCTGGCCACTTGCGGCCACAGGGGTGACCTCGCAGAGCCTTGTCTACTCAGACCTAACACTGCTTTCCTCTGTATTCTGTTTCTGTCTTATCTGGAGGTGGTTCTGCACTGCATTTTTGTAGAGGTCTCTGGTGCAGCCCTGGGGACTGGGATGTCCATACTTGGGTCTGTTGATGCCACACCCAGTGTCTTTCACTGGGCTCTACCCAGTCCAGTGTTATGGAGTGAAGCCTGGCCTTCCAGTGGAAAGAGCTGGAGCCCCAGGGTCAGCTCTCATTCAGGTGTTCGTAGAATTGACTTCATGGTGTCCTGGCCACTCAGTGCATGGCTCGATGGTTCATGAATTTGGTTAATTAGTTGTCGTTTCACTGCACAAGTAGATACGGTGACTGTTTCTGCAGAGGATAGTTTATCAAATAATATCTTAAATTTTAGCCAGAATAAACCTAATACCAGTTTACTGATGAGTAAGTGATAGTCACTCAGTCGTATCTGACTGTTCATGACCCCACGAGCTGCAGCCTGCTGGCTCGTCTGTCCATGGAATTCTCCAGGCAAGAATACTGGAGTGGGTTGCCATTTCCTTCTCCAGGGGATCTTCCCGCCCCAGGGATTGAACCCAGGTCTCCTGCATTGCAGACAATTTCTTAACCATCTGAGCCACCAGGGAAAGCTACTTTTAAGACATTTCTAAGGATAAAGACCGGTCAACTTAAAAAGTATCAGCAAATACATGCTTGACTTTATCTTATAATCTATAGATAGTACATTAGAATATGTAATGAATCCATATACCTTTTCCAAACAACCGAGACAGAAGTAGCAATAAAGTTATAAATGACAGTCATCAAACAGATGAAATAAGTTAGATGAAGCTTCTCTCTCATAGAGATGGGGACTGGGCAAGTGGTCAGGAAGGAAATACAATGTGCTTTTAACTTTGTACTAAAAATAATGTTCATACAGTTCACTTATAAGGCGATATACAAATGAAAATACTTTGTAAAACTATAAACTGCATCTGCAAATTCTATGATTATTTTATGGCATAAGATCTCTTCAGAGTCATTGGAGGCTGTGAAGATGAGTGAGACTTTGTGACTTTTTAGAAGCTTATGTGTATTAGGGGTGCAAGAGAAGGTATTTATACCAATTCTGTAAAACAAGATAGAAGTTTATTTCCATCATTTATGGAGATGAGTGAAAAGTTAAGTCTTTGAGGAAATGGTGGGGATATTTAGTAGGCAGTTGAATACTTAGAATGGAGCTCAGGAGAGATTTTAGCATCAGCAGAACAGGTTTGGGAGTATATGGGCTTTAGAGCTATCTTCACAGCAATACATGTTGAAGAATATGTGATAATAAATATTAAAATGAAAGTCTGTTAATGAGCATTAATAAGTGCAACATGTTTCTTGGGTGCTAAGCCTCCTCACAATACTGGTTTTGACACACTATGTGTAAAATTGTGCTGGCTTCCCCAGAAGCCTTTGAGATGGGCATTCCTCACTTCTGGTTTAGCGGAGAAGGGTGTGTGAAGGTGCTCAGGGTTTCATGTGCAGAAGGTGCTGAAGTTGGGATTGGAACGTCAAGGCAGTCTGGCCCCGAGCCACATCTGTGAACTCTGCACCAGTTACTCAAGAAGCATGAAAGGCACCGGATGCTTGTTGGAGAAAATACTCGATTGTGCGCACTTGCACACAGATACCAGTCATCAGTAGAGGTGCTCTGTGTGTGTGAGTAGTGATTTGTGAAGTTGTGGGATTGTGGTGTCAGACGCACCTGAATTGCTGTACGTGTGAGGGTGATAGTCTTAGGCGCTCGTGCGCCAGGATCACTGTATCTTCATGCCTTGTGTATCATATTTATGTAGTCAGCAACATCCTTCTCAAAGGGTTGCTAGATGAAGTTTTATTTACAAAAGAAGGCTTAATATTTGTGGCCCTACACTAGAATTGTTTCCTGCTTTGAATAATGTTACACTACTTGTATTTTGCTTTAATTATTTCTTTTCTTCCCTTTTCTAAAGTCAACAGCTCTTTATACTACCTTCGATGAAGTAAGTAAACTTCTAAGATATCTTGAGACAAGCAGAACATTGTATTTGTTTAAAATAAAAATTAAAATATAAAATTAAAAATCAGCCATAAGTCATATGCTTGCAGGAAAATATTGCAGAAAAACATAAGCAGAAAAAAAGAAAAAGCTGATGATAGTGTTGAGTATAGCTTTCAGGCTAATTATTAACCTAGTTTCTAAAGTTATGGAAAGGCCATAACATACATGTACACACATGTATATACGTATAAGCACACCATATACAGTGTTTGCACATATACATAAACACATATATAAACTTATATAAACACATATATACACATACACAGATATACACAAACTGTGCATAAAGACACACACACATACATATATACGCACATGTGAGTATGTGTTAGTCGCTCAGTCCTGTCCGACTCTTTGTGACTTCATGGACTATAGACTATTGTCTGTCCATGGACTTCTCCAGGCAAGAACACTGGAGTGGGTTGCCATTCCCTTCTCCAGGGGCTCCTCCTGACCCAGATATTGAACCTGGGTCACGGCGGGCAGACTCTTTCCTGTCTGAGCCACCAGGGAAGCCCATATCTGCACATGCGTGTACCTGAATGTACATAAGCACATCTACACGCCTCTGTACATGTAAACACATGAAGCACACACATTCACACAGTTAGGAATACATCTGTATCTTCTTAAACTCATTATATTGGTTAAGAAAGCCTTTCCTAAATAGGTGGTTGCTACTTTCTTAAGACTGTCCTTATTTAATCTGCTTTGGACTTAACACATGTCACGCCACATGTCTAGTATATTTTGACACTGAAAGTTCTATGTATGTATACTTGTATACCAGTTGATCAACTTACTTCTTTTTGCTGTTTTAGATATTGGCAAAACACTTGAATGATGGTAAAATCAACCAACTTCCTGTTTTCCTGGGAGAGCCTGCAATGGTAAAGTGTTAGGCATTTATAATTTAATACCCTGCTATTTACCAATATGATTAGCTTTTCTCAAAAATGACATTAATTTTGTCTTGGTTCCTGCCCAGAAGTGCTCCTGAAGCATTTGCTTGTCTGAACTCCACTGTCTTTGCAGCTGACATTGGCTGAGCTCTGAGCAAGCTCAGGCCCTGTGCTTCATGCTGATTATCCAGACGTCCTCTCCCTAGGACCTGAGGACTTAGTCAAGCTGGTCCTAACAGTGTTTGAATTTGTGGGTTATATGAATTTAGTGATGAAATGTGTGGAACTGTTAGTCGTTTAGTCAGTCCATCTCTCTAGCCCATGGACTGTATATAGCCCCCAGGCCCCTCTGTCCATGGGATTCTCCAGGCAAGAATACTGGAGTGGGCTGCCATTTCCTTCTCCAGAGGATATTCCTGACTCAAGGACAGAACCCAGGTCTCCTGCGTTGCAGGTAGATTCTTTCCCATCTGAGCCACCAGGGAAGCCCATATGTGCTGGTAGCAGGGGCTGTATTTGCTTTATGAACAACAACAAAGTCAGATGTGACTGGTAAGATAGTGTTGGATGAGAAGATAATTATTTAGATCTGTTTTCTATTTGTCAAATTTTTATATGTTATGAGGATATTGCAGTGACTTCTTTGGACTGTAAATAGGATTTTTATAATTTTTAACTGGGAGCCAGCATCCTGTTCCCGCTATGTGACATCAGTCACTCCTTTCTGCTACCAGGAAGTTAGCATAATTGAACTCGTTTATCTAAAGCTCTTTTTCATCTTGAATCTCTGTGACTCCTCTGTCCACTGGCAGTTTGCTTGAATCAGCAAATGTGGTTTTCTGACTCTTTTTCCTCTGCCTGTGGAAGAGTCCTTGAACATCTGTGATTAAGAAGACAGCCGTGCCTTCACAGGGCTTCAAAAATAAAGGGGTGATCTGAGAAAGGACACGTGAGAAAGAGGCATGAGGGGAAAGAAAACCGGTGCTGTCCATGTGAGCACAGCTGTGGATCCGGGTGTGGTCAGCACAGTCCTCCTCCTCCAGGGGGCGAGGCTGGGAGCGGTGCTGCTACCAAGCCCTGGAGCCGCGCAGGCAGCTCTGCAGCCCCGGTGCAGTCCTCCGGACTGGCCAGCTTCTTGTGAGTCCGCAAGGAATAGGCGCAGAAACGCAGCTCCCTGGGAGAGCCAGCCTGATCCGCGGGGCTCCTGCCTGAGGTCGCGGGGTGCAGTTCCAGAGGACAGGGCTCCCCAGCAGCATTCCACAGAAGGGAGGTCCTGCAGGAGAAGGCAGCGGTGGCGGTGGGTGTAGTGAGAAGCCGAGGGATCCCGGGTGACTTGGTGCTCGTCTGCTCTGTGACTGTGACTGACTTCCAGGCTCACTTTTCTGTAATGAACATTGCTGCTTCGGCTTGCCCTTTCTGGGCCTTCAGGCTTCCTTCTTTCTGCTGAGAATACTAACCACCCATTTTTTGTGTCCTTTTTTTTGGTAGGAATTTCTCTGGGATTTCCTAAACCATCAGGAGGGTCCCCGTCTAAGAGATCGGTTAAGCCATGGGGAAGTCAGTTTACCTGAATTTCCGAAAGCAGCAGCCACTCAGTTGCTTGCGTTTTCCTTTGTCCTTTTACTCAGATTTATTGATGAAGATCTGTTATCAGTGTTCAAGGTAATGTGTAGGGAAGAAGATGTTTCATTAGATTCACTTATTTCAGTTGAGAAGGAATGGAGTTATTTTCAAATGTAATTAATTATATTTTAATTATCTTTTAATTTATTTGAGTTACGGTGTGCCTCTGTCTGAACAGATTACTTGTATTACATGTATTCTCTATAACATAAATTAATATTACTTGGTCTCACCTAAAATAATTCATCCTATTTTTTTTTACTCTAAATCTATATTTATTTACTTAAACCTTTTTAATGGCGTCCAGTTGATTTATAGTGTGTTAGTTTCAGATGTACAGTTACACACACACACATTCCCACTGTTTGAGGTTCCTGTCCCGTACAGGCCACTACAGACGACTGAGCGGAGTTCCCTGTGTGTGCAGTAGGTCCTTACTAGTCACCGGTTTTATGTACAGTAGTGTCTGTGTCAGTCCAATCCCCAGTTCATCCTCCACTCTCTCTTATCCCCTGATAGCCATGAGGGGGATAAGCCAAGAAAACAAATAGCCATTGTTTTCTACTGCTGTGACTCTCTTTCTGTTTTGTAAATAGGTTATTTGTACCACTTTTTTGTATTCTACATATGAGCAATATCATATGATATTTGTCCTTCTTTCAGTATGAGAGTCTCTCTGTCTGTGTTGCTGTTACCTGTCTTTAGGTTTTTCCTCTCCGGCTTATGCATTTGGAGTTCTTTTTAAAAGACCCTTTTAAGGTTTTTGTTTTCCAGAATTATAGACGTGTTCATATGCTTTCAATTACAGTTGCATAGCTTTCTTTCCATTTACATCTTTTGATCCAGCAGGAATTTATTTCACCTGGGAATCTAGCTTTTTTTTTTTTTTAACAAATTGCTTGCAAATTGGCCAATCCCATTTAGAGAATAAACATCTCTATGCAGGGTGCCCTGAACTCCAGACCTGGACTCCCTTTCCCTGTCTGTACTGAGTCTCACAGCACATTAGTTGGTGCTGACATTAGCACTCACATTCATGTCTGACATTATGGTCCTGTTTCTCTTCTTCTTCAGAATACCCTGCCTCTTCTCTGACTGTTATTATTCCAGTGAACCTGTGCGGTTGAACACAGAACCCATAGGGGTGGGCTCCTCATGGACTAATGTGGGGATAATTGACCTAAGTGGCTGCTCCGGCGCCAAGGCCAGTCTCCCACTCCACTCTCCAGGTTCCGTGTTCTCCTCAAGACGGAGCCCCAGGTCTGCATCCCCCTCCCCTGCCGCCCCCGCACTGAGCCCCATGCGTCCCCAGTGCTCAGAGGCCCTCCCACGGCTCCCGTCAAGGGGGAAGCCATGTGTGCTGTGCTGGCCACTGGCTCATTGCTGGCTTCAGGCGTGAGTCCTGGTGACCCTACCAGGTACCAACCACCCCGTGAGCCTCACGGCTGTCTGATCTGTAGGTATCAGAGTAAACGGAAGTTAACTGCATTTCTTCTCCAAGTAACAACTAGCCATTTGAGTGGTTTTGTGCTGTTGAGAGTTCTAGGTAGTTACTGCTTATACATAGGGAAGCTTTTGACTTCCATGTATTAAATTTGTTGGCTCTCAGCTCACTGGCTTTGCTGTTCTTCAGTGGCAGTTCATGTCCGACTCTGCAACCCCATGGACTACAGCACGCCAGGCTTCCCTGCTCTTCACCACCTCCTGGAGTTGCTCAAACTCATATCCATTGATTCAGTGATACCTTTGAACCATCTCATCCTCTGTCACCCCCTTCTCCTCCTACCCTCCGTCTTACCCAGCGTAGGGTCTTTTCCACTGAGTTGGCTCTTTCTATGAGGTGGCCAAAGGATTGGAGCTTCAGCTTCAGCATCAGTCCTTCCAATGAATATTCAGGACTGATTTCCTTTAAGATTGATTGGTTTGATATCCTGGCAGTCCAAGGGACTCTCAAGAGTCTTCTCCAGCACAGTTCGAAAGCATCAGTTCTTTGGCACCAGCCTTCTTTATGATCCACCTCTCACATCTGTACATGATTACTTGAAAAACCATAGCTTTGGAAAAACCATAGATGGACCTTTGTCAGCAAAGTGATACGTGTGCTTTTTAATATGCTGTCTAGATTGGTCACAGTTTTTCTTCTGAGGAGTAAGTGTCTTTTAATTTCATGGCTGCAGTCACCATCTGCAGTGATTTTGGAGCCCAAAAAAATAAAGTCAGCCACTGTTTTCCCATCTATTTGCCATGAAGTGGTGGGACCGGATGCCATGATCTTAGTTTTTCAAATGTTGAGTGTTAAGCCAGCTTTTTCACTTTCTTCTTTCACTTTCATCAAGAGGCTCTTTAGTTCCTCTTCACTTTATTTCATTAGCGTGGTGTCACCTGCATATCTGAGGTTGCTGCTGTTTCTCTCCAGTTTGTGCTTCCTCCAGCCTGGCATTTCACATGATGTGCTCTGCACAGGAGTTAAATAACCAGGGTGACAATATACAGCCTTGACTTACCCCTTTCCTAATTTTGAACCAGTCCATTGTCCTGTGTCTGATTCTAACTGTTGCTTCTTGACCTGCATACAGATTTCTCAGGAGGCAGGTAGGTGGTCTGGTATTCCCATCTCTTGAAGAATTTTCCACAGTTTGTTGTGATCCACACAGTTGAAGGTTTTAGTGTAGTCAGTGAAGCAGAAGTAGATGGAATTCTCTTGCTTTTTCTATGATCCAAAGGATGTTGGCAATTTGATCTCTGGTTCCTCTGCCTTTTCTAAATCCAGCTTGAACATCTAGAAGTTCTCAGTTCACATGCTATTAGAGGCTAGCTTGAATGACTTTGGGCATTACCTTGCTGGCATATGAAATGAATGCCATTGTGCAGTAATTTGAACATTCTTTGGCATTGCCCTTCTTTGGGATTGGAATGAAGACTGACCTTTTTTAGTCCTGTGGCCACTGCTGAGTTTTCCAAATTTGCTGGCATATTCAGTGCAGCATTTTAACAACATCATCTTTTAGAATTTGAAATAGCTCAGCTGGGATTCCATCACCTCGACTAACTTTATTTGTAGTAATGCTTCCTAAGGCCCACTTGACTTTACACCCCAGAATGTCTGGCTCTAGATGAGTGGTCACACCATCGTGGTTATCTGGGTCATTAAGCCCTTTTCTTGTATAGTTCTTCTGTGTATTCTTGCTACCTCTTCTTAATATCTTCTGCTTCTTTTAGGACCAAAGCATTTCTGTCCTTTATTGTGCCCATCTTTGCATGAAATGTTCCCTTGGTATCTCTGATTTTCTTGAAGAGATCTCTATTGTTTTCCTCTGTTTCTTTGCATTGTTCAGTTCAGTTCAGTTTAGTCGCTCAGTCATGTCCGACTCTTTGTGACCCCATGAATCGCAGCACGCCAGGCCTCCCTGTCCATCACCAGTTCCCGGAGTCCACCCAAACCCATGTCCATTGAGTTGGTGATGCCATCCAACCATCTCCTCTGTCGTCCCCTTCTCTTCCTGCCCTCAATCTTTCCCAGCATCAGGGTCTTTTCAAATGTGTCAGCTTTTCGCATCAGGTGGCCAAAATATTGGAATTTCAGCTTCAGTGTCAGTCCTTCCAAGGAACACCCAGGACTGATCTCCTTTAGGATGGACTGGTTGGATCTCCTTGCAGTCCAAGGGACTCTCAAGAGTCTTCTCCAACACTGCAGTTCAAAAGCATAAATTCTTCGATGCTCAGCTTTCTTTATATTCCAACTCTCACATCCATACATGACTACTGGAAAAACCATAGCCTTGACTAGATGGACCTTTGTGGACAAAGTAATGTCTCTGCTTTTTAATATGCTATCTAGGTTGGTCATAACTTTCCTTCCATGGAGTAAGCGTCTTTCAGTTTCATGGCTGCAGTCATCATCTGCAGTGATGATGAGAGCCCAAGAGAATAAAGTCAACATTGGTCACTTAAGGCTTTCTTATCTCTCCTTGCTGTTCTTTGGAACTCTGCATTCAGATGGGTATATATTACCTTTTCTCCTTTGTCTTTCACGTCTTTTCTTTTCTCAGCTATTTGTAAAGCCTCCTCAGACAACCAGTTTGCCTTATTGCATTTCTTTTTCTTGGGGATGGTTTTGATCACTACTTGTTGTATGGTGTTATGAACTTCCTTCCATAGTTGTTCAGGCACTCTATGTCTACCAGATCTAATCCCTTGAATCTGTTCGTCACCTCCACTGTATAATAATAAGGGATTTGATTAGGTCAGTTGTGAATGGCCTAGTGGCTTTTACTCGGAGAAGGCAGTGGCACCCCACTCCAGCACTCTCGCCTGGAGAATCCCATGGAAGGAGGAGCCTGGTAGGCTGCAGTCCATGGGGTTGCTGAGAGTTGGACACAACTGAGCGACTTCACTTTAACTTTTCACTTTCATGCATTGGAGAAGGAAATGGCAACCCACTCCAGTGTTGTTGCCTGGAGAATCCCAGGGACAGCAGAGCCTGGTGGGCTGCCGTTGATGGGGTCGCACAGAATCGGACACGACTGAAGCGACTCAGCAGCAGCAGCAGCAGTGGCATTTCCTACTGTCTTCAATATAAGTCTGAATTTGGCAATAAGGAGATTATACTCTGAGCCACTGTCAGTTCCCAGTCTTATTTTTGCTGACTATATAGAGCTTCTCTATCTTTGGCTGCAAGGATATAATCAATCTTATTTCGGTATTGACCGCCTGGTGATGTCCACGTGTAGAGTCAGCTCTGTGTTGTTGGAAGAGGGTGTTTGCTCTGACCAGTGTATTCTCTTGGCAAAACTCTGTTAGCCTTTGCCCTGCTTCATTCTGTACTCCAAGGCCAAACTTATTACTCCAGGTATCTCTTCACTTCTTTCTTTTGCATTCCAATCCCTTAGGATGAAAAGGACCTCTTTTTTTGGTGTTAGTTCTAGAAGGTTTCCTAGATCTTCATAGAGCCATTCAACTTCAGCTTCTTCAGCACTAGTGGTTGGGGCAGAGATTTTGATTACTGTGATGTTGAATAGTTTGCTTTAGAATCAAACTGAGATCATTGTGTCATTTTTGAGGTTGCACCAAGTACTGCATTTCAGACGCATTTGTTGACTGTGAGGACTACTCTATTTCTCCTAAGGGATTCGCCCACAGTAGTAGGTATAATGGTCATCTGAATTAAATTCACCCATTTCTGTCCATTTTAGTTCACTAATTCCTAAAATGTCAATGTTCACTCTTGCCATCTCCTACTTGACCACTTCCAATTTACCTTGACTCATGAACCTAACATTCCAGGTTCCTATGCACTGTTCTTTACAGCATCGGACTTTACTTTCACCAGCAGACACATACACAGTTGGGCATCTTTTCTGCTTTGGCTCAGCCTCTTCATTCTTTCTGAAGCTGTTTATCTGTTCTTCCTCAGTAGCAAATTGGACACCTACTGACCTATGGGTTCATCTTCCAGTGTTGTATTTTTTGCCTTTTCATCCTGTTCATGGGGTTCTCAAGGCAAGAAAACTGGAGTTGTTTGCCATTCCCTTCTCCAGTTGACCACATTTTGTAATAGTCCACAGACTTGGGTTTGCCAGTTATACAGGTGTGTCAGCTGTAAATAATGTAATTTTTTACTCTTTTAGAAATACTTATATGTCTGGCAGTTGAGTGTTTATAATATGTATTCCGCTTCTAGTTATATTCATTTTTAATGTTTAAACTCTTATTGTGTCCTAGTTTTTTAGGAGAATCTCTTAAATTTTCCAATTGTTTGAACTCTTTTTCTCATTTATTTCTGGTTTTGCTGCGTTGTGGACAGAGTGGCATTTGTAATTGATCACTATTAATCAGCCTTATTTAAGATAATTTTGTTGGTTATGGCTTGACTACTATATCAAAGCTATTTTAATGAAGAGTTTTCCTTCTTTTAGCTGAGACAGTTATGTATAGGGAGTTAACGAGAAGTCAGGACTCTTATGTGACCTCAGATGCAATAGCAGAGAAACAGAAGCCTGACCGAAGTTGTAGTAACAATGGTCTGTTTTCTCTAAACCAGGAAAAAGCAGCGGTGAGGTCGTTGATTAACCTTGCAGTAGCCTACGTTTCTCGCTGCCACCCAGCTTCTCAGCTTAAAAAACAGGTAAGTGGGGAGAGGTGTGCAGGTCCACAGTTGTAGAAATTTGAAGGGTGCAGGCCGCCTCCTCCAGCCCGGCTTTGGGTCCCCAGACCTGGCTCTGTGGCTTGTGTGCCTCCCAGATGTGTGGCCGTGGCCTGGCCACTGCATCTTTCTGGGGTCCAGCAGTTGAGGTGATGGTGGGTTTGCGTCCTCGGTGTTTTTAGTACTCTGTGGGTGACCGCATGCCATTAACCCAGGACCTGTCACAGGCATTGCTTGGCAGTGGTGAGGGATGTTAGCTTCATCAGACCAGCTTTTGTTAGCCTGTAGCTTAAACAAGCCATAAGCTTGTCAACATTTCTACATGGATATTGTGATTGGAGAGTGGCTCAGAAACTTTATTTTACATATGGCAGGCGATACCAGGGAGCAAGGTGGGGTCGTGTCCAAGAATGTAATTGTCACAATAGTTGCTAGTAGAAATTCTGAAAGGAAGTTGTAGAGTCAGCGCAGGCTGGCTTGGGGAGATTTGCAGAGGTGTAAGAGAGAAGCCCAGCCGGAGTGGATGGCCCCCAGGAGCGCTGGGGGGAGGGGCTGTCGGCACTCCCTGGGGAGCTCATGCTTTCGCCTGCCTCCCTTCGCCTGCGTCGCCTGAGTGGCAGACGCCCGCCAGGGTCCAGATGTAGCCTCTAGCGTCTCACACGCGTGTCGCGCCAGGTGCTGAGCTGCGGGGGGCGCCTTGGGACTTGGCCTCTGCGGCCTTTGCCCGAAGAAGCCGGAAGGGAGGCCGCGCGGTGAGTCCTCACACGAGCTTCGCAGGGCTCCGTCAACCTCAGCTCCGGTGTCTTCCCTGGCAAGACTGTCAGGAGACAGGGCCCAAGGAGGGGTTCCTAGGGCTTGGTGCTGGGGGGCCGAGACTGGGGGCTCAGTGTTTGCAGAGACTGAGGGCCCAAGCGTGAAGGAATGCCTCCTGGGGAGGTGGGTGGTGTCTGGCAGAACAGTCAGTCGGTGGTGCCTCTGTCATTTACCTTTACCTTGGCCTCCGATGTGGCTTTTTCATTTTATTTTGGGGAAAGCAAGTTGCAGATGAAGTGCTTTGCCCAGTGAACCACTGAAATAAACATCAGTTTGCACTGATCCTAATTGGGCAACTGCTCCTTGTCACATGTCTTTAAATGTTTCCTGTCTTCAGATCAGAAGGTGATTCTGAAACAGATGCCTGCAGCTCTTTAATCAGAGAAATCGTGGCTGAGCTGTGTTGCCATGTGCCTGAGACACACCGCGCTGCCCACCTCTCTGGGCCCCTTCCTCCTGAGGAGTGAGTCCGGGGCGTCCTGGGTGCTTGGGCCTGGGGGAGGTGTGTTGGGTTGCAGGCTTCGCGGAGGAGCTGTTAGATAAGCCCTAACAGTGCATGTGGCGACAGACGTTCTCACACAGGATCTGCCAAGTCTGACGCCTGTGACAAGGCCGCGGCAGTGGTGCAGGCCACCGGCCCAGGGCGGACAGGCCCTCAGGACCTGCTCTCCGCCCCGCAGGTGGCCCCGGCTGCTCCATGCACTCTGCAGCATCCCGGTGCGGACCCTCTTCTGCCCCCGAGCTGTCCTGGAAGTGCTGGCTGTGCTCCGGAGGGTCAGCAGCCACTGTCACCGCGTTTGTGACCAGGTAGCCGCGTGCGTGGAGCTGAGGCGCCGGCAGTGGGAGGACCGAAGCCTGCGCTCACGGCAGAGGCGGAACTACCTGCGTCTGGTGCGCAGGTGCGTGCTGCTTGCTCTGCTGGGCGGAGCTATGGTGGGCGGAGCTCTGCTGGGCGGTTCTCACCTGATGGGCTTCTGCTCCCACTTCAGAGAATGCTTATTTAAGAGAAAAATTGCAATGGGTATCACTGTAAATGCCACCTGTAACTTTAGAATATGGGTTCTACAGACCCAGCAAATTTTTGGATTTTAAAGGTAACAGCAGATTTACCCGGCAGTGCTGGCACTGTGTATCTAGAGTGCTCTGCATCCTCACGAAGGCACCTTATAAAGGTGATAAATACTTACTAAGTTTTAACTGATTTTATGTTTTTAGTATGAAGCTTCTGTCTTCGATGCTTTACCTGATTTTATTGCTGATTGTGCTAGAATTGATCAACATTCACATGATTCTTGGGAAGAATGCTTCCGAATACCAGCAGTACCTGAGGTCAGTGTGTAACAGGTCAGAACACCAGCGATATCTGATTCAGTGTGCACACTTCAGAACACCCTCAGTACCCGAGTCAGTGTGTAACACTTCAGAACACCCTCAGTACCTGAGTCAGTGTGTAACACTTCAGAATACCGGCAGTACCTGAGTCAGTGTGTAACACTTCAGAATACCGGCAGTACCTGAGTCAGTGTGTAACACTCCAGAATACCGGCAGTACATGAGGTGAGTGTGTAACACTCCAGAATACACGCAGTACATGAGGTGAGTGTGTAACACTTCAGAATACCAGTGGTATCTGGGTCAGTGTGCACACTGCAGGAGATGAAGCTGTGTGTCAGTGATTTTGAGTCGTGTTCCCTCCTGTCTGGCCCTAAACTGCTCTTCTCTGTGGGTTTCAGTGCAAGTCAGTGAGCCTTTAGAGCTGACACAGTTCAGAAAGCTGAGTGATCTACATGTGAATGATTTTGGAATCCCTCCTGACAGTGATAGTGGGAGGAGGCTGGTGAAGCTGCAGCACCCTCAGCTGCGTGGACGCCCAGAGCCTGGTCCAGCTCTAATCCGCAGACCGTCTGCTGCAGGGCCATGCACGCACCGTAGGGCAGTGCCCCCCGCCCACTGGACGCCGGCAGCCGCCAGCTGTGACAGCCACACAGGGCTCAGACGCCCCCAGTTCCTTTGGGGGCACAGTCACCTCATCTGAAAGCCATGGTCTAGACAGGGGCTGTGGGTTTTTGCTGTGTTAACTTCTCCCTAAGTATGAAAATTTCAAAAATCCTTAGTTGGAGAAAATTTGGGGCTACTTGAGAAACTAAGGAGAACTTGGGAAACGTGGGCATGGCCCTTCTTCCCACCTGTCAGAGGGCGTTCGTGGGCTTCCTGGTGAGTCATCTTCCAGCAGAAGCCTTTCGGCAGCGATGGCTGCTCCCAGTGGCACGTGTCTACTGTGGGGGGGGCGGGGGCTGGTGGCCCCTTCATGGGGGTGAGGCTAGTGGGGTGGAAACAGGAGGCGCAGCCCCCGAGGGTCCAGTGTCTTGTGGTCCAGGCGGCCCCTAAGGTCCCATCAGCAGAGCGTCCTGCATGGATCTGGGAGCGGATGAGCTGTGTGGCGCGTGGACATCCACCCTGTAACGCTGACATTCTTGCCTTCATTCAGTTGGCATTCTCTCATTTCCATTTTGAATGTATTTCCTTTTCTTGAATCTTCAGGCGAAAATTAGCTAGAGTACTTCAATTGTGATTCCAAAATGAAGGGAATACACGTAAATCCGTGTTGCAGTCTTCAGTGGGATAGATAAATTACTTTCTTTTAAACAGGTTCTTAAAGTGTGTCTTGCAGTACACAGAGAACCTGGCAGCTTACACCAGCCAAGACAAGAACAAGTGGGACGAAGCTGTCCATCTCACACACGCAGCCTTGTTGAAGATTTGGACTTTTACTGAGAAGAAACAGATGTTGACACATTTAGCCAAGAAATCCATGAGTAAAGTCATCTGATAAGTCAGGATGCCTCGGGCTCTGTCAGAAACCCAACCGACCATGTGGACTTCATAGCCTGTGAATTGAGGACCCAAGGGCCAGGTGGGTGTCCAAGGGCATAGCATCTGAGGGCAGGTGGGTTCGGGACTCTGATCCATCAGGGCCCCAAGCCTCCTGCCCTTCAGTTCTCCAGTCGCTTTCCGGCTGCTGGTGTGAGCCTCAGGTGGATCCCTGGGAAGCAGTGGCCGCAGCAGTTTGGGGCCTCGTCTCCCAATGTGTCCTGTCCAGAGGAGAGACTCTTCTCGCTCAGCTGTCACCCAGGCATGGCTGGCTACATTTTACTGGCCATATTGCAAATCTTGAAATGATGGCTGTGACCAGCACCCTGCCCTGCATTCACGGGCCAGGCTGGGCGGACGTCCTCCCCTGGACCAGCCACTGGAGCATGGCGGGAGGCATTGGGCCAGTCGCCCCCGTCCTTGGAGCAGAGGGTGAGGTGGATGGGATGCAGATCTCACTGGGTGGGAAGGCCCTGGGCAAGCCTGCCGGTCAGTGTGTCCCCGGGGGTCCAGGTCTGGTAGGTTAGTGCAGCCCCTGGGAGGACAGAGTGAGATGGGCCGTGGACACCCCCAAGTCAGGCTCGTGGGAGGCCCTGGCAGCCACCGCGGGAGGCTCCTCATCCGCTCCGGTGGCAGCAACAAGGCCCGTGGTTCTCCAGGAGCCCCTGCAGGGCTGCCCTGAACCTGAGTCTGGGTGCACTCGGCTGTGCCACTCCCCCGCTGGCCACACAGCCTCCTCCTGGCCTTGCTGGCGGGTCGGCCTCCCAGGAAGGGTGTCCTGCCATGTGCTCCAGCTTCTCTGCCCTCGGAGATCGACAGGGAGGCCGCCGTGGGGCGGTGGGGCAGTGTGACCACAGACTTTCCTGGTCCAGCTGTCACTTCTCCAGTTCAACAGCAGCCACCCCTTTGTAACTGAACTTGTGGGTAAAGACGGGGACGCCTCCTGCTTCTGTCTGCTGTGACTCAAGCCCCCCACACCATTGCCCCCACTCCTAGGCTGGACTCAAGTCACAATTGTGATTTGGAGAATAACCACTCGTAACCCTGCTGGTGTTGGTGCTGGAATGGGTTGGGGGGCAGGGAAGCAGCAGCTGGGGCTGCGTGGTGACCGCGGGACCCGAGGCCGGGCTGGCCGCTGGGCTGGGGAGCCTTCCTGTCTTGTCGCCGCCTCCTCCCTCAGCCACTGGCCTCTGGTCGCCGGTCCTCACCTGGTAGGTCGACCCAAACCTCACTCCTCAAAGAGCTTTCCCGCTAGAAACCTCCTAGTTCTGGGAACTAGTTGTCCATTGCCTTTTACCCCTGGAGATGGGAATGCTGAGAGTTTTCCCAAGGCCCCCGCCTGGGCTGCAGCTGTCCCCAGGGGCGTGGGGAGCAGGCCCCCAGTCATAGCCCTTTGTCCTTTGCTTCCCTGGCAAGGCTGCCGAGAGGGCCCATCTGTGGCAGCGTTTTCTTGAGAACAGAAGCCTCCAGGCCAGCAGGCAGCCAGTGCACCGCCCCTGGCCATGGCTCCAGCAGGCCGGAGGTTGCCCCCCGCACCTGCCGCTGGGACTGTGGACCTCTCAGCGGGGACATAGCTGTGAGCGCCGCCGTCCCTGCTGCATCCTCCAGGGACTGGAGCGTGTGCTGAGTGGGTGCCACCCTCCTTGCTGAGCACCAGTGGCTGACGTGACGGGCTGGGGGGTCCCTGCGTCACCTGATGCCGGGGGCGGGCCCTTACCTCTTCCTCATGACCCTGCACCCCTCCAACCCCCTCGTGTCGGCCCCCAGGCTCGTTTCCCTTGGCCCCTGACTGCTGACCTCACTGACACCCGCGCTTCCCGTGGGTGTCCCCTCACCATGTGGTCCTTCCTGGTGCTTGACCTGCAGCGGTCCCCACCCCCGCTGTCCTGGGGCCGCCCTGCGGCTGGGCACTGCAGCTCTGCCCTGCAGGTGGTGTCTGTGGACTCTGCAGAAATCACAGAACTCTTCACGCTTTGGGCAGCCATTACAGTAGGCACACACGAGGAGGAGTGAGCCTCTGGCTCTGTGACCCCCGCCTCGGAGCGAGCGGAGCCAGCTGTTGCGTGGTGGGGGTGTCGGCAGCTGGAGAAGGGGGTTCTCGAGGGGGGGCCACCTGATGGCCGAAGGCTCAGAGTCGCCTCGACTGGCTCCATCAGGAGGAAACTTGGAGCCCCGGGCAGAGGTGGAGTCCTGGTCTGTGCAGGGCCCCTGGGTCCTGGGGGTCGGGTCCTGGCCTGTGTTGGGTCCGAGAGCAGCAGGGAGCTGGCTCTCACAAGGACAGGAACTGCGAGGCTTTGCCCGGGAGCCTCAGTCTGTGCTGTGGGCCTGTGTGTGATTCCACCTGGCTCCCATGTCCACACGGATGCGTGTCCACCAGGCCTGGCAGCACCCAGACCACAGGGTGAGAGCCATCTTCATGTCCACCTGCAGGTCTTACTCTGGGTCTCATGCGAAACTGGCCACTTGGCAGGTGAACCGGTTAGCGGCCCCATAGCCGGGGCCAGTCCTGTAGACGCTGCTTCCAGAACGCAGAGGCCCCCTGGGTGTCTCCTCTGCCCGGGTGGCAGGTGAGTTGCTTGCCTGCCTGTCCCCGGGGAGGGCGTCCGGACCTGCTAGGTGCTCGGTTTACACTGTAGCCTGTGGCCGTTCACGCTCCATCAGGCCGTGTCGGCCGCCGTGTTTGCTGCCCGTGTCACACCATTGACAGTGCTGCGTGGACGAGGGGGCCGTGGGTTCCAGGCTCTGCTGACCCCTGGAGACTTGGCAGAGCCCTCACGAGGCTGTGGAGACAGAAGCAGAGTGCTGCTGTGGGCTCGGCCCAGGCGCGTGGCAGGGTGCCTGCCCGGGGGTGCTGACCAGAGACCCGAGCTGTGACGATCTGTCCCGGAGCGGCGTCACAGTCGGGGGCGTGTCTGATTACGTAGGCCCCTGTCCAGGCTTCCCTGCCGCCACCCCTCTGCTCCGCAGGCTGCGTGACCCCCTGTGGCTCTCAGCGCGCTACCGGCTTCAGGGTCATGGAAAGAGTTCATTCTGCCTGCTTCTACTCGTCCTTCCCGCCACGGCCGAGGGCTGGGGGACCCACCGTCCTTCACAGCGAGGTCCAGGTCTGAGCTGGGGCTGGGGCCACAGAAGGGTCGGGTCGCTCTGCTGCTTGTCTGCTCGCAGCCAGGCCCCCAGCCCTTCCACGGATCGAGGGCAGCCTCAGCGCGGCCCTGCTTACCTGTCTAAGGGGCGCTGGGACGCGGTAGCCACCAGAGGCCTCTCGGCTGTGTCTCTCTGACCGGCTCTGCCTGCAACCGTCACAGGACCAGGCGGGCGGGCAGGCCCAGAGAGACCCCTGCCTTTGGGCGTCAGCGTCACTTCCTGAGCAGACCAGCCCCTCCTGTCTCAGGGCTTCTTCGTGGGCTGATGGGGATTCTGACGCCCGTGCGCTTGCTCCATGGGCTTTCTCTCCCTGATGCAGCTTCTCACTCGCTGTCCCCTGACTGTTCAAGGAGACTCAGAGTTTCTTTCATTTTATTAACCCCGGCCCCTGAACAGCATCTCGGTGTGTGTGTGTCTTCTCCCCAAGTCTCTCCCGTCCTAGTAAACAACCTCCACCTACTGATCAGGCCCCAAGGAATTTCTCCTGTTTGAACTGTTCCAGGAGGTCTCATTTCTGTCAACCTAGAAAGTGAAAGTGTTAGGTCGCTCAGTTGTGCCGCCTGTGCCACCTCATGGGCTGCAGCCCGCCAGGCTCCTGTGTCCATGGGAGTCTCCAGGCAAGAATACTGGAGTGGGTAGCCTATCCCTTCTCCAGGGGATCTTCCTGACCCAGGAATCGAACCCAGGTCTCCTGCATTGCAGGCAGATTCCCTGGTGAGCCACCAGGGAAGCCCCTGTCACCCTAGATGTCTGACCAAATGGCTTCCCTTTAAGGAAGTTCTGTGGACCCACAAGGTGAGCAGCCCCACACTTGAGAGGCACAGAGGGCACAGTGGGCTCTGCTCTGAATTACAGGCTGTTTTTCTCTTCCTTTTACGCTGATGGTTCCCAGACCCTGGTCCCCTGGACAGCTCAGCACCAGCACCACACAGGCCATGTCCACTCACCAAAACCCTCCTCAAATGTCCAACCCCAGCCCCTCGGAGTCAGTCCTCCACCCGATCCCCCTGGAGATGGTCTCCTGTCCTGCCCGCCACCCTCACGTGTCCCACCTGGCCTTCCAGGTGGGCTGAGTCCCCACGGGAGAGTGTGACCAGATGCCCACCTCCAGGGGTGCTGTCCACGTGTCCCAGGGCTGCAGCCTGGGCCTCCCGCAGAGAGCAGCATGGGTCCTTGGTGTCACCGTGTCTGCAGGCCTTTCCCACGGGTCCTGGGCAGCAGATGGCAGCCACATGACACCTATGATGAGCACTCCACTGGCTGGGGGCCGGGCACTGGGCACACGACTGCTGCCCGCCTGCCTGCCCTCGGGGAGGCTGCATCGCTCCTGCCTAATGCAGGCCAGGCCCTGTCCACAGCGTCCGCCCCTCCCCGCAGCCTGTGTCCTGCCAACCACCTGCTCCTGGAGGCCTTTCCCACGGGTCCTGGGCAGCAGATGGCAGCCACATGACACCTATGATGAGCACTCCACTGGCTGGGGGCCGGGCACTGGGCACATGACTGCTGCCCGCCTGCCTGCCCTCGGGGAGGCTGCATCGCTCCTGCCTGATGTAGGCCAGGCCCTGTCCACAGCGTCCGCCCCTCCCCGCAGCCTGTGTCCTGCCAACCACCTGCTCCTGGAGGGAAGCCCCTGCCTCTGTCAGATGCATCCCTGAGTTCCCCCAGGCAGCAGCCACAGCCAAGGGGGCGAAGGTCCTTGTTCTCAGAGGAGGTCCCGAGTGGGCTCTGACCCTTGGGGTGGCAGGAGGAGGGGGCCAGCTGAGCACCGTTCCGCCGGCAGGAGTCGCGGTGCAGCTGGGGCTGGCTCTGAGGGGCCGTGGTGTGACATTGACAGTCACGGTTCAGAAGTGGCCAGAGGCTCCTGATGCCTGGGGGTCTGCGCCAGGCTCCCAAGACTCTACATCCTCTGGCGGCCCACTACGTCCCTCCGACGGAATTGCTGGGGAAAGGAAGGAGGTGAAGGTTAGCTAGATCTGGTCCCCACGCAAGGCAACAAGCTCTCCGAGCTGTTCAGAGTGAGGCCGCGAGGGAGCGGCTGATGCTGCTGTGGGGGCCAGGCGGAGGCCCCGGGCTCGATGCCAGACACGCCCAGACTAGAGCCTGGCTCCGTCTATCAGTCACGGGCTCGGCCCTTCACCTCGAGCTTTCTCTCTGGAGGCGTGTGGAGAGGAGCACCCCTCCCGGTTAGGGTGCTGTGCTGAGCACGTGCGAGGCGCGCCAGCCCCTCCTGACCGGGGCGACGGTCCGTCAGTCCTGCCGGCCTTCCGCGAGGCCCGGAGGAAGGACGGTGCGGAGACTCGGAGGCAGTCACGCCCCGCGCGTGCGGAGAAGGCCCCCACCCCGAGTCTCTGCAGACGTTTCTGCGCACGAGGGGGACAGGACACAGCTGCCGCCTCTTAAGTCCTAGTCCTTCTGCTGAGCTAAGAATAGCCCTGCCCGGCCCGGGCGGTGCCCTCGGGACAATCTGCCAACAAGCCGGAGCCGACTGCGAGCAGGCCCTGCCTGTGCTGGCCCTCAATGTGGGACGCGGGGTGGAGGGGGTCGGGGGACCCTTTCCCAGGGATTCCGTGGGGAATCTGCTCCTGTGAATAAACATTGGGTTTCTCACGTCAGAGATGCTCTGAGCTCTGTTATCGCTGTTGGTGACTTGCTGGGCCTGTTTCGTGGGGTTGTGCTTCCTCTATCTGGACGCGGGGTGGCGCTCTTTAGCAAAGCCAGGCCAAGGCGCCTGCGGAAGGCAGCGAAGGGCTCCAGAAGGGAAGGGGCCGGCGTCTTTGATCCAGTGGGACCTGCCCCTTCCTCTCCTCCTGCCTTGCCTGTCCCCGGCCTTGAGTTTCCATCAGCCAGGCAGGTTCCAGTGGAGACAGGCGCTCAATCCCTGGGAGGTCAGCCCAGCAGGCTGA